AGTCTTCCCAGCTCTAGACCTTCAGTTCCTATGCCCAGTTAAACATCTTTCCTTTCCCTGCCAATGTCTGGACATCCAACGTTCCCTGCGTCTCCTCTAGAAGCCCACTAGAAGGTTCTCAGACCTCTCAGCATCAAATGCCCAAGTTGTGCTTGTCTCAAGGTTGGTCTTCGAGCCCAGGAAGAGAGATGTGGGCCCCTCAAAGTCCAACCCCACGCTGGTCTCCCACATCCTCTAAATGCTCACCAGCCAAACACCAAAGGCTCCGGCGATCATTTGCTCCCATCTAAAGGCACCAGGGCCTCCACCTCACCAGCCCACTCCAGAAACAAACACGAGAATTCCCAGTACCCCATCCGGCCGCAAACTCAAGATCCTCCGCCCTCACAACTGTCCCAGCCCAGGCAGGACCCTTGGCCATTCCTTCCCCAACCCTGGGAACACGGCTCCTTACTCTCTGTCCACACGCTGGCCGGCCCGGCCGCCAAGCCCACCCAGTTCCGAACCCAGGACCACCATTTCCAAGACCCTCCCCCCAGATCGCAAAGAGAAAGCCTCTCGTCCTTCCGACTTTCTCAGGCTCCACAAACAACGGTTTCCGGTCTCGGAGCCCCACCTGCTCGTGTCCTTGTCATCTCTGAAACCGAGCCCCCACCCCGATCTCCCCTGCACCGAACGCTAGGATCCACCCTCCGATCTCCCGAGGGCCTTGTGCCCTGGTCCTTGTCAGCGGCGGGTCGCGGGATCACCCGATCCTCAGACCGTCTTCCCCACCTCTGACGCCGGACTCCCGCGTCCCACAGCCCTTCCTCGGCCCAGACTCCGGGTTCCCCGGCCCCCGCCCCGCGCACTCTCACAATGTCCGTCCGGCCCCGAGTAGCCGCCGGGCTCGGGGTGCGGCTGCAGCCCGGGCGGCGGTGGCTGCGCGGTCCCCTCCAGCTCGGAGCCCCCCTCGGTCTCGACCTCCTCGTTGTTGTGTCCGGGTCTCCCCGGTTCGTCGTCGGCCTCGAGCTCCCGCTCGTCGTCAGGCTCCTCGGCCTCCAACGCCGCTAGCAGCCGCTCAGCAAGCTCGGCCTTAAGGCCGCGAGTGTCCAGGCCGCGGCGCTGCAGCTCCTCGCGAAGTTCGTTCACCTTCAGACGGCGCACATCCATGGCCCGGGCCCCCGGGGCGGCCCCCGAGCCCGGCCCGGCCTCCCAGGGCTCTGTCCCCCTTAAACCTTTCCTGTCAGGAGGCGAAGGGGGAAAGGGGGGGGGCCCCCACTCCAATGGCGGCGGCGGCTCAAAATGGCCGCCGCCGCCACCTCCCCCTCGTCTACGTCCCGTACGATGCAACACGAGTGCCAATTGGCCAGCGCGCGGGACAACGGGCGCGGGCCTGGAGACTCAGCCAATCAGAGCGCGGTTTTCAAAAGAACGGCCGAGAGGGGCTCGGAGCTGTCGGGGAGGAAGCGTTGGCCTACGTTGAAGCCGCGGCTGGAGCGGAGGGCGGGAAAAGGCAAGAGGCGGAGCACGTGCTGATTGGGTACCGTCCGCGCGCCAGCCGCTGTAGGGTCAAATGAGGAAAAGGGAGTAATGGCTTACACCAATCAAGGATGAGCTCTCAGAAAGAGAGCCCCCAAGGCCTTTCCTCCGCCGTCCTTTGATCAAACTAAGCTTCTCTGTAACAGGCATTCTGATTGATCCAGATCTCCCGCCCCTTGAGGAGTCCGAGCGGGTAAAATCACTAGAACCAACCAAATGAGGCAGGGTGGGGGGGGGGGCGGTGTCGGCAGAAATTCCCTCCTTCCTGTTGCCTTTAAGAAACCGGAAAGAGATGAATTCTCGTAGGGCCCACCCCTTGCCGTTAGGGCGGTTTCAAAACAATCTATCCACCAATCGCAAATATTGTTTTATTTCACTAAAGCCGGGATAGATTGACCGCTTTATGAAAAGCTCACCAGATTGGCCATTCTTCAGAAGATTGCCTCACAAGTTTAGCTGTAGAGGGAGGTATACGGAATAGAGATTAAGTAGGTATATCACTCTTAAGCTATTAGATTTTGTTTATGGATAAACAAAATCTGTCTTCAGATAGCCCAGAAAGGTTGAAAAGAAAGGCTAAGTTAACAACGGGAGGAAAGTTGTAAAGGACACTGCATCCCCTTTCCTTTGGTAGTACATCTCACAGGCGGCTCTTCCCACGATCCTAGGTTCGCAGCCCTTTCTCTATGGTTGGTACCATACGTGAAACGGACGCTCTGCACGCGACCACAGAGCCGACCTCTTCGAAAAGAGCTTCAGAAGTTCGCAGATCTCCATCCCGAACATCCTATAGTGCTGGTCGGTAAATCTGGCTGTTTGGCATCTATACCGACAAGCTCAAACACCGGATCTGTAATTAAGTCTCACGCTAATATATACAAAAGTGACAATGCCTCACACTGCGCCACCTGTCGCCTCTGAACTCAGAAGGCAACACTTAAATGAGCTACAGACTCGAGATACACGATGCGGATCTGGGGGTGTAACTCAGAGGCAGAGCGCTAGCCTAGCATTCCAGAGGCCCTGGGTCCATCCACAGCGCCGCAACAAAACAACAACAAAAAACAAGCAGAGATACACAATGCAGGCGCCCACTGCCTACTGAGCCATTCCCTTAGGCCACGAAAGCCTCACCAGCCTGTACTCAGACAAAGGCACACACCATACAGATAAACAGGCGTGAGTCAGATCAGATGCATCAAATGGGGAAAATACACCAAAATGCAATGTACATATGTCCACGAACGCCCGCACAGGCAGGCAGCATCGAATGACAAAGACACGCAGGACAGTTACACTACAAGCTCACACCACGGCAACCTAAACACACAGCACCCACTCAGCGGCGGGACAGACACTCACGTGGGCCCGGAGGTTCCAGTCCAGACACCCCGCCCCTCGCCCACGTCCGACTTCCTCTCTCCTCCCAGTTCCCCACAAATGATTTGTTCTAAAAAAGTTTGTGGCCCGGATTGAACCGTGCCCGATTCTCAGGAGCCGCCACTGGGGGGCGTTCGGGCGCTGCCTAGGGTTTTTCCATCAGCTGGACACACCCAGGAACAAGTGCCTTGAAACACAGTGTTGTGTACAGGACCCAGAGGACTCCTCTTGGCAGGTGTCTGTCTGTCTGTGGGTCTTTGGATCGAGGTGTTCTGTACCAGTGTTTCCATGTGAGTCTGAACGTTTGGGTGTGTGAGGACCTATTGTATTCTACTTATCTCTGAGTATGTGTCACTTTACTGTGTCTGTGACTCAAAATTCTTCTTATTCTTGGTAGCATCTGCCTGTGCATATCTTTCTAAATATGTCTATGCCAGTGTGATTTTATTTCTATATTACTCTCTGTGTCCGAATTTCTGTGTCTTTGCATTTGTGACCAGATATGATCTGATTATGTCCATTTGTTCATGTGTCTGTTACTTTGGGGGTGTGTGAGAGAGAGACTGGGAATATCTCTACTTGTGCTTGTTTCTCAAAAGTTTTTTGGGGGAAGATGGGGTGGAGACAGGAGGTTCAATCCTGAGGATTGAACCCAGGATGCTTTACCAGGAGGTACCTCCCCAGCTTTATTAATTAATTTATTTTTCCAGACAGGTTCTTTATTTATTTTTCCAGACAAGTTGCTGAGGCTGGCCTGGAACTCTCATTGGGATTATAGGCACGGGCCACTGCGCACAGCTTCACTGATGTTTTGAGAGCATGAACTTCTTTTGCCTGTGTGTCTTTTTGCATGTGTGTATATTCATTTCTACCCTCTCTAGTGAGGAGAGATTTCCTAGACCCTACCAAACTTTTCTTTTTACTGATGGGAAACTGAATTGTCAGGGAGAGGAGCCACATCACAGCTGAATGGAAATAAGAGGAGACGAAATAGTGATTGACAAAATTTTATGTGATCTGAGCCCCTCTGGAGGCATCATAGTCCACACTCTATAGGAACGAGGGACTGGCTCAAGGGGGCAGCATGGCCCAAAAGGAAGGAGATGGTCCATCCCCTGGGGGAAAGGAGGCATCCCTAATGCATTGCACAGGCTTGAGGGGGCACACCCCCTATGAGGGGAGGAGGAAGAGAAGGTGCCTAAGAAGAAGGGACACAGAATACTATATGGTTAGAAGGATGCAGTTGTACCTAATGTTCTAGACTTGTAGACTTTTAGACTCTTAAGAATATTTGAATCTTAAATTACAGAGCCTAGAACCTTAAGATTTTAGAAATGTGTATTCTTGGACCTTTAACTATAATCCTAGAATGGTAGAATGCAGCACAGAACCTAGAGGTGTCCAACATTAGAAATTATTAGAACTTAGTCACAAATGTGAGGGCCTTATAACTTGGATGCTTAGGATCCAAAACTTAGACCAATAGGACTTTACAGGGCCTTGAAATATGCCGACATTACAATCTTAAGAGTTTAATAATCTAGAATCCTGAAGCATATGATCTAGAATCATAGAGAATTTAGATTCTTAGACTAAGTTTTAGAACAACACATTTTAGAACATTAGACTTTAGAATCTCCATTTTTAGAATCTTAGAATTTTTGGAGTGCAGATTCTAAAATCTTATGCCTTTCAGATCCAGGATCTCATATAAGAGAATCTGTGATCATGAAGCCTCAGAAACTATAATCAACCATCATTTAGAATCTCAGAACTTAAGAAAATAAGTTTGAAGCCTTATGGTTTAGATTCTTATAGCCAGAAGATTGAGACTTAAAGAACCTTAGACAATCAAATTTTAGAACAACAGGCCTTAGAACTACCATGTCTAGAATTATAGAATCTTTAGAATTGTAGAATTTAGAGTCTTATACCTGAAGGACTTGGAACTCTAAAAAAATAAAATCTAGACTCATAGAAACTTAGATTCTAAAACTAGAATCTTAGAGCTCTAGAACCTAACTTGGGGCCTTATCAAGAATCTTAGAACCATAAAATCTCAAGCTGCAGAATCTCACAGCCTTAGAATTTACATGTCCAGACTCTCAGCACTATTTAGAGACTTTGGATTTCAGGTCCTTAGAACCCAAGACTCATAGCATCTTTGAGACCTAGAATCTTTGAATCTAGGCTCCTTAAACATAGGAATCTAGATTCTTGGAATGTCAGACCTGGGGGGGAGGGAGGATGGGCCCTTAGAGATTGCAGTTCAAACATGGCCTCTTAGGGATGAGGATTTTACGGTGCAGAGAAAAGGAAGGGTCTGTCTGGGATGAGGGTGGGAAGGGTAGGAAGAGGACTACAGTTGGGGATAAGGCCTGGAGTGGAAAAGTGGGGGGTAAGGTTCCCCCAGTGGCAGTGCCTAGCTTGGGTCCTGAGAGGGAGTTCTAGGTGGAGGATTGTCTCAGGCTCCATCCTCCTGCCCTGGGGGTGACGGAGAGCTCCTGTCAGCAGGCGCAGAGGGGCCAGGGGCTGTAGATGGGCAAAGGACGTAGCGTCCAGCAGGATGGACCTCGGCTGCAGTGAGGCAGCTACAGGAATCCTTAGGGTCAGGCTGGGTTGGGGGGTCAGCTCCTCCAGCAGCTCCAGGGGGTTCAGGAGGACCTCCGCCTTCATCCATGTTGACATAGAGGATTTCGTCAGGTTCCTGGGCAGGGGGCAGGGCCTTCAGCGTGTTCTCGAGGTCTTCCCGTAGCTCTGTAAAACTTGGCCGGTCTCGAGGGTTCAGCTCCCAGCACCGGGACATCAGCGCGTACCTAGGATGGCAAGGGGAGGGGTGGGAGACTGAACAGGGGCTCAGAAGGGGTGCATTCTGGGGGTTTGGGGACGTTTTAGGACACCCAGGGGCCTGAGAGTTAAAGGGAACCTCAGCACTTTGGGAGCATTTATGGGGATTTGAGAATTCTTGAGAGTTTCCAGGGTGGGGGGTGGAGTCCTAGAAGACTCAGGAACTGGGAAGGGTCGTGGGAACCTCTCTAGGTCTGGAATGGTGTTCTGGTGAGGGTTTCCTAGAGCAGAGCTTAATAATGTGTTCCTCTAGGGCAGAAATTGGCATCAAACCCTGGCTCTGCCAGTTATAAGCTGTACCGACTCAAGATATGTCAATTCTTTGACATTCCTCCTTCCGAAGATGAAGACTAGCTTGGCACGGTGACACATACCTATTAACCCAGCTACTCAGGAGGCTGAGATAGGAGGATCACAAGTTTTAGGCCAGCCTCAGCAACTTACTGAGATCCCGTCTCAAAAATAAAAAATAAAATGGGCTGGGGATGTAGCTCAGTATTAGAGCACCCCTGGGTGCCATCCCTAGTATTGGGAGGGGGAGGAGATGAAGAACAAAGCCTCTCCCTTGAGTGTGGGCAGGACTTTGCGACTTCCTTTGACAGCACTATGGAGGGGCCACATGGCAAGGAACTGAGGCTTCCAGTCTCAGCCATGTGAGTGCCACACATTGAAAGCAATGTTCTTGTCCCATCTTCAGATGACTTTGGGTGCAGCCAACATCTAGACTGCAATGTCACTAGAGACCCTAAGCCATAGAGACCCTGCTAAGCTGTTCCCAGATCCTGAGTTTCAGAAATGGTGTGAGATAGTAAATGCTTGTTGATTTAAGATTAGATTCGGGGGCAAAGAGATCTACCCCACCAGCTGTGCAACATTTGGCAAGTGACTCATACTCCCTGTGGACCTCAGTATTCTCATCTGCAAAATGGGAATAATAATGATACTTATATACTCCCTGTAGTTGTGGTAAGGATCAAATGAGTTAGTACATGCAAAGCACCCCAAACAGAGCCTTCTGGTAAGTTGTATAAAAATGTTAGCTATAGCTGGGCATGGTGGAGCATATCTGTAATTCCAGCAGCTCAGGAGGCTGAGGCAGGAGGATTCTGAGTTCAAAGCCAGTGTCAGCAACTTAGCGAGGCCCCAAGCAACTCAGAGAGATCCTGCATCTAAATAAAATACAAAAAAAGGGCTGGGAATGTGGCTCAGTGATGGAATGCCCCTGGGTTCAATCCCCAGTACCAAAAAGAAAAAAAAAAAGTTAGCTATTATTCTTACTCTCCTCAGCTCTTGAAGTAACCGAGGGGGACCTAGGGAGTCTGTAGGCTGCCTCCATCTGACCTGAGCAACATCCTCTCTTTACCCTTAAAGTGCCCTTCTTATACCATCATGCTGCAAAGTTTGCTAAGTGTGTCCTCAAGGGTCCTGCAGACAGCTCAGGAGAGACCTGAGAGTCTGGAGAAGATCAATAAAAACAAACAGGAAGGTTTTGCGTAGGGTCCTGGGTGTTGAGGGACATTTGAGGGGAGTGTGGGTGCTCAGGAGCCTGGGATGAATTGGAGGCCTCTGGGGTTCCAGAGGCAGGGTGAGCAGGCAGTTACACACTGCCCAGGTTTCCTGGCTGCAGAGAGAGGGAACTGGCCCAGCTTGTGTTCCACACACAAGACAAAGCAGGAAAGCGCACCTTTTAGCTAATTCACCCCCCACCAAACACCAGCTGGCTAGGCGTGGAGCCAGGGACAAGTGAGTCTCTTTCTGAGGGACTCCATGCAGGTTTTCTAGGGGCCTGGAGATGTGAGAGCCATCTGTGGGTGCTCAGGGGTGTGCAGTGAGTTCTGGGGCTGGGGCGGGGGAGTATTTCTTAGCGTGCTCACAGGCCGTCCAGACAGTCCACGGGCTGCTTCAGGCGGTTTCCCTGGCGCAGGTAGTCATAAATCTCACTGTTCTCCACTCCTGGATAGGGGGTCTGACCCCGCGTGGCAATCTCCCACATTGTCACCCCAAAGGACCACTGTAAGGAGCAGAGGGGAGGCAATTAGAGGTTCTCTTCTACACAAAGGCCTCCCGATACACAGGTATGGGGTACACTCACACGTGTGTGCAAATGTGTCCACAGTCCCCACTGGGGGTGTATCACAGGTGTTCATAGAAACACTGTGCCATACGTACATCCATGTCTGGGTGATTTTTGCGGATGTATAGACATCCATCCATACACACATTTACACACTTAGTGGTCACAGGATCTCATGTGTCACCACCCCCACAACCAGGCTGTAGACACGCACACGTGGTCACCACTGCTTCTCTGACCCTCAATGTCCACATGGCCACCATGCATGCACACATGAATCCGTACTTTCCCCAGGCATGTGTACACTGCTGTGCCCCCCACATCTCCATGTGTACCCAGGTCATATAAACACACCCCTGTGCCGGAATGTCACATGGCCCTGTGAGTCCCGCACCTGCAGCTGCCCAGGCACACCCCCAATGCCCTCCACCCCACGACTTGAATCCCCACTTTTCCCCACTTCTGGTGAGGGCACATGTACCACGTCGCTCTTGCTGGTGTAGACTCGGTCAGCCAGGCTCTCGATGGCGATCCACTTGACGGGCATCTTGGCAATGCGTCCCTGACGGTAGTAGTCCCCGTTGTAGATCTTCTTAGAGAGCCCAAAGTCTGCCACGCACACGGACATGTTCTCGTTCAGCCTGCCCAGGTTGGGGGAGGGACCAGGGTCAGGGCCTCAGCCACCTCCACCCTGAAGCCCACCCTGGCTCTCACACACAGCTCTTCCTCCTGCCCTCACTGTCCTGCCTCGGGGTGGGGATCTGCTGCCAGCACCTTTGCCCTCATCTGGGAGGGAACTGCCTGAGTTTTAGTTACATGTGTATAAAGAGGGTAGGACAAGGGGTCTCTAAGAACCCTTCCAACTTTGGCTTTTGCCAGATTTGAGGTCCTTTCTAGGCTTCTTGAGTTTAATTCCCTGATTTTTTGAAAATTGTTTTTTAAAATATTTTATTTTTCAGTTGTAGTTGGGAACAACGCCTCTATTTATTTATTTATTTATTTTTATGAGGTGCTGAGGATCAAACCCAGGGCCTTGCACATGCTAGGCGAGCGCCCTACTGTTGAGCCACACCCCAGTCCCTAATTCCCTGATTTTTAAAGTCTTCTTGGACTCTCCAGGTGTGGTGGTCTGTAATCCCAGTGACTTGGGAGGCTGGAGCAAGAGGATAACAGGTTTGAGGCCAGCCTCAGCAATTCAGCAATTGCTAAATCCATGTCTATAAATAAATAAATAAATGGGCTTTAGGTGTAGCTTGGTGGTAAAAGCTCTCCTGGGTTCAATCCCCAGTACAAAAAAAAAAAAAAGTTTTCTTGAACTATGTGATACATACAGAAATGTGCCCAAATCATAAATGAAGAGCTCATTGAATTTTCACAAACACATCCACATTTCCAGCACCCAGATTAAGAAAAAATATGCCAGGCCATCCAAACTAGGGAATCCCACCCAGAAAAAGAAAGAATTTACTGCTGGTTAAAGAAATGCAAATTCAAACTGCACTGAGATTTCATCTCACTCCAATCAGAATGGCAATTATCAAGAATACAAGCAACAATAAATGTTAGCAAGGATATGAGGGAAAAGGAACACTCATGCACTGCTGGTGGGACTGCAAATTGGTGCAACCACTCTGGAAAGCAGTATGGAGATTCCTCTGAAAACTTGGAATGGAACCACCATTGGACCCAGTTATCCTATTCCTTGGTCTATACCCAAAGGACTTAAAATCAGCACACTACAGTGACGCAGCCACATCAATGTTTACAGCAGCTGAATTCATAAGAGTTAAACTATGGAACCAGCCTAGGCGCCCTTCAACAGATCAATGGGTAAAGAAAATGTGGCGTATATACACAATGGAATATCACTCTGCCTTAAAGAAGAATGAAAATTATGGCATTTGCCAAGAAATGAAAGAACTGGAGACTATTATGTTAAGTGAAATAATCCAGTCCCAAAAGCTAAAGGCCAAATGTTTTCTCTGATATGTGGACGGTGACTCACAATAAGGTGGAGAGGGGGGTAGGAAGAATAGAAGTACTTTCTATCAGACAAAGGGGAATGAAGGGAAGGAGGGGGAGGGGAATGGGAAAGACAGTGGAATGAATCAGACATGACTTTCCTATGTTCGTATATGAATACACGACCAGTGAAACTCCACATCACGTACAACCACAAGAATGGGATCCTAATTAGAATAAGTTATACTCCATGTATGTATAATACATCAAAATACATTCTTCTGTCATGTACATCTAAAAAGAACAACAACAACAAAAAACTGCTGGTGCACACAGCAACACACACCATCTCAAAAGTGTTAGGTTGAGTCAAGGAAGCCCAATATGGGGAGACCCGCTGCACGATCCCATTTATAGGACATTTAGGAAGAGGTGAAACTAGTGCTGGTGACAAAGAGAAGCTGCTGCTTAGGGAAAAACACTGGGAAGGGGCACAAAGGAGTCTCCTGGGGCTGAGAAATATTCCTTCCGTGGTGGTTACGTGAATCAATACACACGTCGAAACTCACTGAGCTGCACATACGATGTATTCTATTTTATTCTTGTCGTACTGAGGATGGGACCCAGGGGTGCTTAATCACTGAGCCACATCCCCAGTCCTTTTTTTAATAGTTTACTTAGAGACAGGGTCTTGCTGACAGGGTCTCACTAAATGGCTGAGTCTGGCTTTGAACTTGTGATCCTCTTGCCTCAGCCTCCCAAGTTGCTGTGATTACAGGAGTGTGCCACCGCGCCTGGTGTCTTTTTATTTTTTATTTTGAGACAGGGTCTCACTAAGTTGCTTAGAGCCTTGCTAGCTTGCCAAGGTTGACCTTGGAACTTGTGATCCTCCTGCCTCAGTCTCCCAAGTCACTGGGATTACAGGTGTGCACCGCTGCACTTTGCTAAGGTGTATTTAGTGAATGTAAATATATATCAACATGTTAAGTATAAAAATGAAATAAAAAAAGAAACACATTTCCTTCCAGTAAGCACCCCTCTAGGTTTTTTCCACTTTTGCTTTGTTTTTGTGCTGATAGTCCCAGGATTACAAAGATTCCACTTAGGGCCTTTTGATGTTATGATGTTGCAAAAGCAATAAGCTTTCAGTAGAAACTATACTTTGAATTTTGAATTTCTACTTGTCTATTGCTGGGGAGTCTGGTTTCCTTATCCAGTGTGGCTCCTCAAGGGCAGCCTCAGGGCTCTGTACCATACTCTCCCATGGTGAAGGAAGCAACATAAGCCTCAGTTCCCAGCCAGCCTCGGGATCATGAGGGGAAACAACTGTAAACAGTGTTGCTATTTTTGAGCACACATTTTTGAGGAGGCAGATATTGTGTTTCGTGTTTGTGCATCCCATCCATCTATGTGTGTACACGAGACACTCAAGCCTTTATTCTAAAATAGGCCTTGTAGCCAGGTGCAGTGGTGCACGCCTGTAATCCCAAGGGCTCAGGAGGCTGAGGCAGGAGGATCGAAAGTTCAAGGCCAATCTCAGCAACTTAGTGAGGCCCTAAGCAACTTAGGGAAACCCTGTCTCAAAATAAAACATAAAATAATAATAATAATAATAGCTGGAGATGTGGCTCAATGATTAAGTATCCCTGGGTTCAAACTCTGGTACTAAAAAAAAAAATAGAATAAAATTGGAAGAATCCAAATGTGGCATGTGTTATGTGACAGAATCGTTATTAATCTTCTTAGTTGGGACAATAGAACTGTGATTAGATAAGATTAAGAAAACCCTTATTCTTGGGAGCTACCCACTTCAGATTTAGAGATGAAGGATCACTATCTCAGGGATTTGCTTGTAAATGGTTGAGGGGAGAGAAGAAAAGGAACATGGAGAAATGTCAACAGGGGTGTCACTCGTATGATTCTCTCAACTTCTTTAAGATCGAAATTTTTTAAAATAAAAAGTTGGGGCAGGGAGAAACTTCCATTTTCCTAAGAGTTGTGAATACGATGCCCTTTTCAGAAGGTTCTGTGATTCTCCAGTTGTGATTTCTATGACTCTGACCTTGTCAGGAGACTCAGAGTCTAAGCTTAGGGTTCCGCTCCCTCTGCACCTCCTCTTACTCCCAGTTCTGGGCTATTTCCTGCCTGCTACTGCCGAGGAATCTGATTTCCTGATCCAATGTGACCCTTCCCTAAGGGCAGTCCCAGGCAAGACACTCAGCAGGGAGGGGACACAGATGGGACCTGCATGTCACACCTCCACTTTACTCACCTCGTGCTATGCACTGAGCTGTCTCCCCAACCCCATCTCTTTTGTCCTCCATTCTTCTTCAAGATATCAACTCAGGTGTCCCTGGTTGAGGAAGCCTTCCCAGACTCCCTCGATGACCTTTCCTTTTTTCTTTTTTGCAGAGATGAGGATTGAACCCAGAGGTACTCTACCACTGAGCCACATCCCCAGCACGTCCCCTTTTATTTCTTATTTTGAGACAGGGTCTCACTAAATTGCTGAGGCCTCAAACTTGCGATCCTCTTGCCTCAGCCTCCTGAGTCTCTGGGATTCCTGGACTCACCACCATGCTTGGCCCTTGCTGACTTTTCTAAATGGGTCTTGATTTCTGACCTGCCCTGAAGGGTCCCGCTCTCTTTCATCCTAGGAAGGAGGGTGGGAGCTCTCTGAGGAAGGTGAGGATCCCCAAAGGCTTGACCTTACATGCAGTTCCTGGCGGCCAGGTCCCGGTGTATGAATCGCTTGGTACTCAGATACTCCATGCCACTGGCAATGTCTGCCATGAACTTCACCAGCATCTGAGTGGGCAGGAACTGGGGGCCAAGATGGGGGAGAGGGAGGTCATCGCAGTCCCCAAGGTCGGTCTCCTCTCATTCCTCCTTCCCTTCCCGTGCATGCCTTGCTCTGCCCCAGTGATTTCCCCATGGCTTTGAGAATTAAACCCAACCCCTTTCCATAGCCTACGGGGCCCTATAGAATCTGCTCCTGCCTTTCTCTAGGATCTCCTACTGTTCTCGCCTCCACATATACGATGTGTCTCTTTCCTGGTCTTCAAACCAGGCTTGTTCTCACGACTGAGCCTGTGCCCACACTGAGCCCTGGCTTGGTCTGCTTCCTGTCCAATCACCCTGTGCCCCACAAGCCCACTCTTCTTTCAAGGCCACCTCTTTAGCTGAGGCCTTCCCAGTCTAACTGAATCCATTCACTGGACTCCTTATCATTCATTCTTCTGCATTTCCTGCCTAGCACCTAAGTTATCTTGGTTATGTGTTCCTCAGCTTGTTTATTGCCTGGTCTTCCCGCTGGAAGACAGGCTCCGTGAGGGCAGGCTCGGGGTCACAGTGATCTTCCCCGGGGTGTGAGCAGTGCTGGGTACCTGCTAGGTAGGTGTTCCATGAATACTTGAGGCCTGGAGGATTAAATGCCCCTTACCACTGGCTGGTCCCCAAGCCGAGAATAAAGGAGAAAACTGTGCAGGTCTCCGTGTTTCATGAATGGCAAGATGACCACAGGTGCTGGAAAGCCTTCTCGTTCGGAACCTTGGAAACAGACGCCTGGGCGCCACCCCCCCAGGAAGCTCCTGTCACTCCCACTGGACAGGAGGGGAAGCCAAGACCTCCTCCTAGCGGGCCGCATCCTCTTCTGCCTCCCCCTCAAATCTTGCCTCCATATGTTTGGGGGGTGGGTAGCAAGGACAGGAGCTTCAGAGAAGCCATTTCTAACAGAGTTCCCAGGGATGTTTCCGGAGCCCTCCTGGGGACCTCAGCTATTTCTGGGAATGGTCAGAGGTCACATTCCAAGCTGAGGGAGAAGAGGAGGGGGGATGCGTTGATCCTAAAGGCGCAGGGAGCGGGGAGCCTGGAGACTGACCTTTCTAGTACCAGAAGGAGGGCTCTTCCCTCGGGTTGGCCTCGTGGGAATGGGTCCCTCCGTCACTCACCAATGAGCCTCATGACGTTGGGGTGGTCGAATTCCTTCATGCACACGGCTTCACTCAGGAAATCCTCCAGCTCTGATCTTGTGCAGATGGCAACTTGGGGGAGAAGATCAGGTGAAAGGGGGTGGGTCATCCTTCCCTCCTCCTCCTATCATTGTTGTCATTATCATCGTCATTGTCACCATCACCATCATCGTCATCATCTGATTTCCATCAAACAGATGTTCTAACTCATCGCCCCATTTAAAAGATGAGGAGACCAAGGCCCCAAAAGTTTAAGAAACCTGCCTGAAGGGCTCACGTGACTTAGAAACCAACAGGCAGAGTTCCAACCCAGGCAGCCGGGCACCTTGCTGTCTTCCCTCAGACGAGGGAAGCTCAGAGAGGCAGTCCCTAGCCTAAGATCGCACAGCTGGTAAAGGAAGCATCCAGCTGACCTGGACCTGCCTGTGCTCTGCTACCTATGGGTCACAAAGGGACGATCCTAAAACTGCATTTCCCAGGCTCCCACGGAAGGGATTCCCTGCTGGGGTTTGCCAACTGGCAGGGGGAGGGAGACGGGGAGGAACCAGCACAGTTCTCGCTCTTTCTGCTCCTTGAATCCCCTTGGTGGAAGCTGTCTGTCCCCTGTGTTTACAGCTCCCACAGGCGGCCCCTAACTCTGTGTTCCCATCTTCTTCCGGATGCTCCCGGCCACGGCTCTGGTAACACCCTTCCTCCCTCAGCCCTTCAGGCCTAGGGGTGGACGTGACGTCCAGCTGCTGCTGCTGATGTCCAGCTTGCCTCCCTGCTCCAGCCGTTCCTCCAGCCCTTCCTCGGCTGCGGGAGTAATGTCCCCAGGTTGGATTCTTTCTATTGAAGTACCTGGCAGGAGCTCCATTCCCCGGCTATAAACACTGACTTTTCTGCTCTCCTGGGGCACAGGGAAGGGGCCTGGCATCGGGGATGGGCGTCCCCAGGTGTGCACACGCATGCTCAGACTCACTCTTCATGGTCTTCACAGCCACCTTGAGGATGGAGTCGTCCTGGTTGAGCTGGCCCTCCATCACAGCTCCGAACTCCCCTGTGGAGGGCGGGAGGAAGACACTGACCTGGGGGAGTGGTGGGGGCATGGGGACTGTATTTCCTGGAGCTGGGTGGGGGTGGGGAATTGAAAGACCCCAGGGTTCAGGAGATGCGTGCATGGGGAGGACTCACCTTCTCCCAGGGTCTTCCCCAGGGCCACCTTATGCCGGTCCACCATCACGTCCCGCAGCTTCTCCTTCAGCTCCTCGCTGATGCCCAGGCTGTTCACTGCAGGGAGGGTGGGCGGAGCCATGGAGTGGGCTGCCCTCCAGGTGGCCCTCGCCAGCAGGGATGTGCCCTTGGTTGAGACACTGAACTACTTCTGCTTTGATTCAGAATTAGCTACTGCCCTGGACATCCCGCCTCCCCAGCCCAGCTCCTCTGACGACACCCCACAGTGGCAATTATGGGAGTAAAATGTGGCCACAATTTTGCTCCGGTGTGTACCACAATTGCTCTGCTGTACCAGTTATTAAAAATATTTCTTTTAGCTGGGCGAGATGGGGCACTCCTGTAATCCCAGCAGTTCGGGAGGCTGAGGCAGGAGGATTACGAGTTCAAAGCCAGCCTCAGCAAAAGCGAGATGCTAAGCAACTCATTGAGAACCTGTCTCTAAATAAAATACAAAATAGGACTGGGATTGTAGCTCAGTGATCAAGGGCCCCTGAATTCAATCCCTAATACCACCCCCCAATTATTTCTTTTAAAGAGGAATTCAGAAATTCCCAGCACAAAGAAATGGCAAATGTTCAGGAGATGACAATGGTAATTATCTTGACTTCAACACTCCACATTGCACACCTGTCTCCAAGTTTCCCCGGCACCCCATAAGTACAATCATTATGTGCCCATCACAAAGTAAATAAGCAAATAAGTCCTCATATAAAAGACATTATCAGGTAGCACACCAGACATAATATTCAACTAAAATTTATAAGAGATATGAAAATATTTGGTAAATCAATATTAAACATTATTTTTTAATTATTTCTTTTTATTGAAGTATAATCTGCACGTAAATTTTAAGTGAGCAGCTCAATGGATTTTCACAAATTCATTGTGAACATCATTGTAAAACCAACACTCAGGTCAAGAATAGGACATGACCTGTTTTCCTGGGGCATCCACTTTCTTTCTCTTTCTTTCTTTTTTTTTTTTGGTACTGGGGATTGAATTCAGGGGTGCTTAGCTCTGAGCCACATTCCCAACCCTTTTTATACTTTATTTTGAGAAAGAGTCTCGCTAAGTTGCTTAGGGCCTCGCTGAGTTGCTTAGGGCCTCGCTAAGTTGCTAAGGCTGACCTTGAACTTGTGATCCTCCTGCCTCAACCTCCCAAGCCACTGGGATCACAGGCTTGCATCCCCGGCTAAAACTGATAGATTTTTAAGACACAGGAACACACAAGCACTCATCCATCAGCAATTGAGGACATCACAGCAGGTCAGGGAGCCTCAGGAAAACGCCCTTGAATGTTCACCAGAGGAGCATGCAAAAGGGCAAATGACATCTTGGTATTATTATGAAAACTGTTTTGACCCCAGGCCCCCTGCTAGGTCTCAGGGACCCCAAGGGACCAGAATCACACTTTAGGAACTGCCTCTGTGTACTATTCCGTTAAATTACTGCAATTCTGTCTCTTCTTCTTCCTTCTCCTCTTAGATAAATGTCTTTCCCAGCCCTTTCCAAACATCCCCCTGGGGCCTGCAGCTGTGTGTGAGATCAAGACCTCCCTCTGTCCCTCATTAGCTGTGACCTCTATGGTCCTCAGAAAGTTCTATAAGCTATGATTCTATGATTTTCACCAATAGAATTGCCGGAGTTCTGGCTGCAGCAAAATAACCGGGGGGTGACGAACGACTTGTGCAGATTGATACAGCAGGAGTAGGAGCCGTTTATTGCAGGACAGGAGCAGTATTTATACATTCCACACAGCTTATCTAATTAGCATAAACTAGTTACATCAGTCAACCAATAAGGAATCTCCACACTTAATGGCTCGCTTTTGTTACTTCTCAAACCACTCCCTCTGGCATTTTGCCAGGCACCATCCAGACTTGTTTATGAACTTTAACATTCCCCTGGCAAAATGCCAGGTGTTATTTTGACTTGTTTACAGACTCTTAACAAGAATAGTGATGAGCACATCATTTTTCAGGCCAAAATCAATTCTATCTCCCTAACATTCTATGAGTCTAAGAGGCTGCACAGCATGGTAGTTATGTATACAGACTTCAGAGCGCAACAATCTGGGTTCAAATCCCAGCTATCCAACTTACAAGCTGTGTGGCTTTGAGTCACTTATTTAACCATTCTGTGCCACCATTTCCCCACAGGTAAGTACCCATGTCCTTGAGTGGTTGTTAGGATCAAGGGGGCGATATGTGTAGAATCCTTTGAGTGGCACCTGTCACATAGGACGCGCTAGGCTAGGCTGTCATATCACCATCACCATCACGTCTCCTCACGGTCCTTACCATCATCACCTCCAGCACTGTCCCTATCACCAGCTCATCATTTTCACTGTCACACTCTTCATCATTATCATCACCATGCCCACATTATTCCAAGATCTTATGGCTCTGAGGTCTGGTGATTTGAAGACCAACCGTGTCTAAGATTCTATTAGCCCAAAGCTCCGTATGGTTCCACAATTCCGCTCAGGGACTGTTGTTCTAACACTCCAGTATCCAAAGGCCTTCAGAGATTCTTCTCTCACTCACCTACAGAAGCTCTGAATACCCAGTTCTCTATGGTTATTTTAGTTCCAGGCCAGCGCAGGGAAGCACAGAGTCTACTTACGGGTGGCTTCGGTGGTCCGGCGACTGTAGGACTTGCGCGCACGGTACCTGACTACGAGTTCACCTCTCTCCCCTGTTGGCTCAAACACCTCTCTGGGGAAATGGGGAGAAACCTGTAAATCATGCAGACCCCACTCCTTCCACCAGTGGCTAAAGCAGGCACCATCCCAGACCCGAGCCCTCTGTCCCTGTGCTCCAGCGTCTGCTGAGCACATCTTGGACTGCTCCCTTCGGCCCTCCATCCATCCCCCAGGCCTCCGGGCCCTTGTTCTGATTCTTGGTCCTCTCTCTTCCCACACCAGCCTCCTCACTGGCCTCCCGGCCTCCCAGCTTCAGTCCATAGAAGCCTCCAGTCCACAGAAGCCTCCCCATGGAGCGCTAACTCACCCATAGCGGGTCTCCTTCTTTCGCTGGTGGACAAGGAACAGGGCCAAGATGAGGACACAGGCAGCAGCCACAATTGCTCCCAGCAGTACATACCACCAGCGCCACGAGAAGGCAGGAGCTGGGGGTTCACTCACTGTCAGGAGGTATGGGGGACAGGTCATGGCTGAGGTCCTGGATCCAGCTCCCTGGGACCCAAGGATGGGATGTGGGAGGAAGGCAGGAGGCATGGACAAAGCTGTGGATGTCTTTGCAAGGGATGGAGACACCTGCAAACCCAGGAACACTGCTAGGCGGGGCTAAGCGGGGCTGGGCGGGGCATGCAATGGACACGGTATGTCTGTTAAGCACAAAGAGTGAGAAACTTGCAGGATGGGTGAACTTAGAGTAGGATGAGTTCTTGAGGAATGTGTAATTAGTGCAATGAGTGCGAGGGGAAGACAGATGCATCCAGAATGGGCTGCAAGGATGCAAGGAGGGACGGATGGACACGGATGGACATGGCAAATCTGAAGTAGTCCAGGGGTGTGTGTGTGTGATGGTGGTGCAAGGTGCTGGGCTTGGGGGCAGAGAACAGGTGAGTGAGGAAGAGAATTCCTGTAGCACAGGATAGTGCGAGAGGTGTGTGCAGGGCGTGCGGAAGGAGTATGGGGACAGAAAACTAGGGAACATCTCTGAATAGTGTTCAGAGTGAGTACAGAAAGCGAGAATGAGAGTGAAATGAGTGAGCAAAGGGGTGTGGTGAGTGCGCACAGGGGGACAGCTGTTAGTTTTTTATATATGTATTTTTTTTAGTTGTTCATGGAACTTTATTTTATTTTTTTCTTATGTGGTGCTGAGAATTGAACCCAGTGCCTCACACGTGTTAGGCAAGTGCTCTACCACTGAGCCCCAGCCCCAGCCCCAGCTGTTAGGTTTTTTTTGTTTTTGTTTTTGTTTTGGTACTGGGATTGAACTCAGGGGCACTTAACCAACCCTTTTTCATATTTTATTCAGAGACAGGGTCTCACTGAGTTGCTTAGTGCCTCACTAAATTGCTGAGGCTGGCTTTGAACCCACAATCGTCCTGTCTCAGCCTCCTAAACTGCTAGGATTACAGGCATGCGCCACTGCGCCCAGCCAGCTGTTAGTTTTTGACACAAGGAAGGAGCCTTGATTTTTGAGGATGTAACTTCAGCGTGAGTGGAGGGCACAGTGATCATGGCATGTGAGTAGGATGGGACAGGTGTGTAAAAGGGCGGAAGGATTAGTCAAGAATTTCTGTGTGTGCGTATGTGTGTGTGTTAAAATGGGTTCTGATTGGTGGGGGTGAGGGGGTGACATCTAAGGAGCGTGGGATGAACTGTGGGTTGTAAGTTTTCCAGTGTTTGCAACATGGAATACATGGTGAGTGGGTTCCAGGTTTACAGAGCTCGTGAATGAGAGGAGAAGGTGTGTCATGGGCTCGGGAGGTGTGTGTAAGGAGGGAAGGAACATGATGGGATATAGAAGGAGGGTGGAGTGCGTGTGGAAAGAATGTGTGAAGAAATATGGAAAGGCGTGAGAGAGTGTTCAAGGATAGTGAGTTGACTTACAGATGGTGGACTGTATTAGTGTCAGGGTACAATACATGTAGGAGGAATGTTCAAGAATCATTGGAGAAATATTTGAGAGGATGGATGTATGGAGGACACCCCATTCATCCATCCATTGGTCCATCCTTCTGTCCATCCATCCATCCATCCATCCATGCACCATCCATCCATCTATCCACTCATCCATCCATCTATCCATGCATGCATCCATCCATCCACCTACCCACCCACCAATCCATGCATCTATTCATTTACTCACTCATCCAAACATCTATCCTTTGATCTGCCCATGCATCCATTCATCCATCCATATACCCATCCACTCTCTATCCTTCCTCTACTAATCCACCCACCCACACAGCCATTCATTTACTCACTTATCCCGCCACCTATCCTTTCTTCAACCTGCCCATGCCTTCATTCACCTATCCAAGTACTCATTCACTTTCCATATACCCACCCACCCATCCATTCAACCACCATCCACCCACCCATCTGTCCACTCATCCGTCCATCCACCCATCCGTCCATCTGTCCATCTGTCCAACCATCCATCTGTCCATCTGTTCATCCATCCATCCATCTGTCCACCCATCCACTCATCCATCCATCCATCCATTTATCCATCATCCATCCATCCATCTACCATTCACCAAGTACCTACAAAGCGCTGGGCCATTCTAGACACCTCCATCAAGGACCACACAAACCCAAAAAGCAGAGGGTTCAAGTAATGAGTTTAAGAAACATGAAGAGAATGTGTCAAGAGTACATGAGTGGTGACTGACCCCTCACTGGGTGTTGAGGGGACAGAGGGAAGAAGGGGTACAAAAGCCCTTACCCAGCTGGTGGATTGGCTGTCCTTGCCCTGTGAGGAGAAAGGACAGAGGGGAGACATGCTCAGAGAGGGCTCGCATGAGGGAGTGAGGGAGGCTTCCAATGGGACTCGGCTGGGGTAACACAAACACAAAACGTACAGGGAGCAAGTCAAGGCCATCAAGGAGAGGCGAGGTCCTTGTGGGTAGATTGCAGGGGGGCTGAGCATGGCTTTGTAGTTACCTGGGCGCCAGGGTTCCAGGGGCACAGGGAGGCTCCAGGGCCCATCCCCAGCAGCGGTGTAGGCTGCCACAGACACCGTCAGGTTAGGCACAGCCCCGTCCCCCCGCAGTTCCAGGGTCACCTCTTGCTTTAGCCCTACATCCATTAGCACCTAGGAGGTCAGAAGTGGCATTAGAGCAGAACCCAGGCCCCCAACTCAGGACTGCACACTTGGCCTCAACTCCATCTCTTTCTCCAAGCCCTCTCTTCCCTTCTTACCCCTGGCCAGTGGAACATTAGCTGCGTCAGGCAGAGACTTTTATCTGCTAACTCTCTACCATGTCCTGGATTCCTTAGCACCATGCTAGGTGCATGGCACTGCTCAGTCAATGTGAAGAACTGGATTTTCACGTTCATCTCTCTAACTCCTTCCAATTCCCATCCTATCTGCCTCCACCACCCGGGGTATTACGAACTCAGGTAGTACCTTTGTGCAAATTAGGAAAATATGCCTCTTCCTCAAAAGGCCATATGGCTACTGGCTGTAAAACTGTTAGAATACTGAAATGCTTTTGCATTGGGTCATATATAGCCATTCCCTGATCTCTGCCTTGGATCTCCTTTTGCTGCCCAGAATGTTCTGCACCAAGTGTGGTATCTCTGTAGTTTTAAGCCGCGCAAGGGTCTGCCTTCTTCCCATCTCCCTCCTCCCCCAACCATTCCACCCACGCCCAGCCAGCAGCACCCACCTCTGGGGTGTCCTGGCCTCGATACGCCAGCCGGTACCCTAACAGGGTGCCCTGCAGGGGCGCCCTTGGCTCCTGCCAACACACGAGGGCCTGGCTCCCATTCCGCATGGCGCTAACGTTCTCAGGGGGACCCAGGGGCACTGGAGGACAGGGAAGAGGGGAAGCTGGCACCCCCACCTCTTTCTGACCCCCGCCCCTGTTCCCAGGAATTGGAGGCAGGGAGCACAGGGTACACGCGCAGGCAACCCGAGCAAGCCTCCTGTGAGCGGAAGCACAGGGCAGAGATCTGGGAGAGATGCCAGTGGGCAGTGCCGAGGGGTCAGGCACTGGACAGGAGGGAGACTGAGGCCATGTGGGGCAAAGGGGTGAGAGGGGACGCTCTGGGGGAACTGGTGCAAGCAAAGTCTAGTGGGCGGGGCCATGTCCCTCCCCAACCCTCTTACCTCCCTCTGGTGTCTCCACGGGGAGCCAGTGGGTCCAGGGTGAGGGGCCCTGGCTGCTGGTGCAGGACACCCGGATATGATAAGGGGTGTGAGGGTGGAGTCTGCTCAACCGAAGCTGGTGGGGGGGCACAGATGCCTGCAAGATGAGGGGCTCCTCCGGGGGGTCCGGCTCTCCCAGCCAGACACCCACCCTGTCGTCTGACAGCACAGCCTACGGAGAGGGAAAGGGGTGAGGCCAGGACGCCCACGCGATCACGCACAGCAGTCACGCCCCTCTCAACCGTGGCATCCCAGCACAACCACACAACTTTGCAAGGGTGTGAGAGTGTGTGTGTGTGTGTGTGTGTGTGTGTTGCAGCTCCATCTGGGACAATATGGACACCTAGATTAGCAAAGCAAAGAAACCACGGAGGTAGATGATGTGGCTCTGTCAAAAGCCACCTCTGCTAAGACTCTTCAAGACTCTTTCCCTTTCTGAGCCTCAGTTTCCTTATCTGGAAAATGAGCAGATTTGAGGTCCCGTTCTAAGCTTCTAGAGCTGAATTCCCTGTTTTGTTTTTGGTACCAGGGATTGAACCAAGCGGGCTTAACCATTGAGCCACTTCCCCAGGCCTTTTTATTTTTTTATTTAGAGACAGGTTCTCACTAAATTGCGTAGGGCCTTGTTAAGTTGCTGAGGCTGGCTTTGAACTCACGATCCTCCTGCCTCTACTTCCCGAGTTGCTGGGATTACAAGTGCATACCACCAAGCCTGGAGAATTCCCTGATTTTTAAAAAGTTATCTTGAACTAGCTGGGTGCACTGATGCATGCCTGTAATCCCAGCCACTTGGGAGGCTGAGGCAGGAGGATCACAAGTTCAAGGCCAGCCTCAGCAACTTAGGGAGATCTTGTCCAAAATAAAAAAATAAAGTGGGCTGGGGATGTGGCTCAGTGGTAAAACAACAATTCCTAATAATACTGGAGGGAAAAAAAACCAAAAAACGTGTAACAGTGGCAATTTGCAGGTTGACTGGATGCATACAGGCATTTAGGAGATGACCTGTGCACACAATGTGCTTGTCACTGTGATTGGATGTGTGTGGGAGGCTGTCTGGCAGCAAGTGTCCAACACTGCACACCCTGCACAGCTCTACAGGTTCTTCGTACATCTACCCAGGCCCCTGCTTAAGGATGTGAGCCCTGAAGCCAGATTCCTTGGGTCTTACGTCCTGCCTTGGACATTATTTGCTGTTTGACAAAGGGTGAATGTCTTAACTTCTCTGAATTAGTTTCTGTCTCTAGAAAATGGGCCCCTGAGTCTCTACTTGCCAGGGTGTAAAGTCTAATGACACAATGCACGTCGAACAGGTCTGAATATCATAATAGCAACAGCAGCATTTCTCTTTTCCCTTTTCTGGTGCTGGGAATGGAACCTAGGGCCTTGATCATGCAAGGCAAGTGCTCTGCATTTCTTGGTACCATGGAGGGATCAGGCTCCCCGTTCAGCACCTTCCTGGATGAACCCACTGACTTCTCTGTTCTCATTCCCATTCTACTGATGAGAAAGCTGAGATCCAGAGGGGTTTGGGAGCCTGTCCAAAGTCACACAGTCCTCCCAGGGGAAGATGGCACCGCCGGGAGACCCAGGGATGAGGCAGGCCGATGGTGAGTAGCAGGAGGGAGAGGCTGTCCCCATGCCTGCTCTCTGACCCACCAGGACAGAGGGAAGAGGAAGCTGTGCCAGGACAAAGGGGAGAGGGGCTCAGCAGCCAGACCCACTCCTACTTCTCTTTTTCCTGGGATGGCCATGGCCCTCCCCCAGAGCCATTCAGCCCCAGCCTGAGCACAGCAGGAAGTGAGACCTGGAGAGGGAAGAGGACACACTTCTGCTTTCCTGGGGACACTTGATGGATGTGGGTGGGGATGCAGCTAATGGCTGACCTGGCCTTCGAGGTCTCCCATGTTGGGCTGCCCTATGGCACTGAATCATAGCTTCATCCTTCTAGCCGTGGGCATGGGCGTGGGGGCGGGGTCACATTCCCTCTGTGGCCCCAGTTCCTTACCTTGAAAAGGGCAAGATGAACAGCTGCTCACTTCCCGGGTTAAAATGGCACGAAGAAAAGGCTGGGCCCAGAGCAGTGCAAGAAAGAAGACAGGCAGGCAATTCCCAAATAATCAGGTACTGGCTACACAGCATCATTTGGGATTAGAGAGACAGGGTTTGAATCCTGCCTCTGCCACTTTCTGCCTGTGACCTTGGGTGAGTTGCTTAACATCTCTGAGCCTCAGTTTCTTCATCTGGAAAATGGGTATATCCACAGACCCTCCTTCACAAACACATGAGGGGGTGTGCATGAAGCCATAGCACAAGGCCCAGCACACAGCTGGCTTTCAGTGGGTCATCATTGACTACTGTCGTCTGGCAGCCACCATCCAACCCTCATCTCCAACTTCTGAACCTCAGGGAAAGTCAGACCAGCAGCAGGCCTGTGTTTACAGAGCTGGTGACTTGTCTGCACTCGCACCTGTGTTTTCCTTACTCTAGAGTAGGAGCAACTTCAGGGCAGCAACTGGGTCTAGCTCATCTCTATTGTCGCATATTCTTCTAACAAATGTTCCTGCTCTGTGATTGGCCTGTGTTGGGCAATAAGGAGGAGCCAGGGTGACTGACAACTCTGACCCTCCCAGAACCCACAGGCCATGATACACCCCAGACAGTGATGACCCAGAGGGGTCAGGGCTGAGTTGGGAAAGCTCAGAGTTGTGGGTATCCAGGGGTGACAGACCAGCTCCAACCTGGCTAAAAACAACAAAAATGGCTAATAGTTCATGAGGCATCTCCTTTGTTCCAGATACTAGTTTAAGTTGGTTACTTGCGTTCTCTCTATTGGAGTCTCACCATGAGCCTATCAGGTGGGTGCTACCATTATGCTTGTATTATAGATGAGAGAATGGAGACCCAGAGAGGTTAAGTGACTTGCCCAAGCTCACAAGAGGTTAATTGACTTGTCCTGCTCATTGTGGGTCTCCCCTGGAAGAATGTCAGCAGGGAGTGGAGTCAGGATTTGAACCCAGGACTCTATTTCCTTTCAATACACCAGTGGCCTGGAAGGGCTGGGGGAGGAAAATACTGGGTAGAAAGAAGCCTGAGATTGAGGTGACCAAGCTCAGGGAATCTCACCTGTAGGGTGCAATGAGTGAGAGGGTAGATGCCACTCAGGCCTGGGGTCCAAGCCACCTCCAGCTCTGTGGGCTGGCGGGAAATCAGGTGGAGGTCACGGGGCCGCTGGGGAAGCACTGTGGACAGACAAGGGGAGAGACTGACCCTGGGGATCTTTACCCAAAGCTGCCAACGCTGCCCTCTGCCTCCTGCTCGGACTCCTGGCCTCAACCCCTCCCTCAGACACCCAGCTCCCCAGGTCCCTTTTCTGTCACCTGTGATGGTGGCTGTGCGGGATGTGGTGACCCCCTTGGCATTATGGGCTTCGCAGGAGAAAGAAGATGTCTTGTTCAGGCCTAGGGAATCACATGGGAGAGGAGCCCAGTGTCAGATCTGGGAAGAGAGACTCGACCATGCCAAGCCACCCTACCTCACCCAGCCTGGCCAGTGCCAACCTGACGGGCATTTGCAAGCAGAGGGAGTGTGGGGAGGGCAGAGCTATGCATTAGGAACACAGACTCCACCCACAAACACAGGGACAGGCTGTGGGCTTCAGCCCCCCCCCCCCAGGGATTCACATGGCTCACACACTTGCTCTGTCACACCCAGATAGGAACATACATACTAAGACGCACACAGAGGTACACACAGAAGCACGCCTCCTCATCCATACTCCCACGACACATTCAAACACACAAAAACAGCTGGGCATGGTGCCACATGCCTGTAATGCCAGTGACTCAGGAGCCTGAGGCAGGAGGATCGCAAGTTTGAGGCCAGCCTCAGCAACTTAGGGAGGCCCTCAGCAATTTAGAAAGACCCTGTCTCGAAATAAAAAATAAAAAGCCTGGGGGTGTAGTTCAGTGGTAAAACGCCCCAAGTTCAATCCCAATACTGCAAAAACAATGACAACCAGACACACAGAAACACACACACAGGCAGGCACACACAGACACAAATACACACACTCATATACATGCACAAACTGATTTAGACGGACGTGGAGGTATATACACAAGACAGACACATGCTTAGGATGTGGCTGTGTGCACACAGACAAGTGTTTGTTCATTGGTAAGTGGGCCTCCTGTCCACCCCCTTCTCCTTGCTCAGTCTGATCACTGGCCTCTGGTGTTTCTGGAATACACACCTGGGAAGCGTGTTCCTGCCCTGGAAACAGTACTCGCTTGAAACAGTCTTCCCACAGGTCCATATGCCCCCCTCCCTCCTTCCTTCATTTGATTCTGAAATGATACCTGTTATTCTGCTCCATGGCTTTGCATGTTGCCAAGTGTCCTGCTCATTGTGGGTCTCCCCTGCGAGAATGTCAGCTCCAGGGAGGCAGGTTGTGTGTGGGTTTTGGGGTTGTTTTTTTTTTTTTTTTTTGGTACCAGGAATTGAGGTACTCAGAGGTGCTTAACCACTGAACCGCATCCCCAGCCCTTTTTATTTTGAGTCAGGGTCTTGCTATGCTGCTGAGGCTGGCTTTGAACTTGTGATCCTCCTGCCTCAGCCTCCTGAGCCACTGGAGTTACAGGCATGCACCATGGTGCCTGGCTAGTTGTGTTGTTTTGTTCCCTGCTGTCAGGGTGGCCAGCACACAATAGGTGCTCCATAAATGTTTGTTGAGTGAATGAATTTGTGTGTACAACAGTGAACACATGAGCATTTCTGAGTATGTATGTGGACAAGTACCGCATAATTCTGTGGGTTAGGAAGTTAACGTGTCTTGAACAACTGTTCAATGTCTCTACACTTGTAGGCACCTTTGTGTGCACAGGCACACATACCTGTCACTGTTACCCATAAACATGTGCACACATAAAGACACACAAACACATGGATACCCAGTGCGCAGCTATACAACACACACAGATGCACAATGTCGGGGGTGGGGGGCAGGATGTGCAGAGGACCAAGTTTCCAGCCTGCTCTTCGGTGTGCTGTCTGCATGGGTGTGTGCGTGGCTCAGCGGCTCTGGGGACAGCTGTCCTGCTGAGCTCCGGGTGGCTGCGTGCGTGCGTCCGTTCCCACCAGTTCCCACCCTCGGGTCCGCTCTGGAGGGCGGCCTCTGTCCCCAGACACAAAGTTTCCTTTTTTCCGTCAGCAGAAGGAGTGGATTAGGGGAAAGTCACAGAGGCCGGAAGGGGGTGGGCAGGGAAGCGCCCCGCGGCGGCTGCCCAGTTGCCGTCCCGGCCAAGGTCAGGTGCCCGGGCCTCCGCAGCCCCCGCCGCCCCCGCCGCCCCCGCCATCGAGAGGAACAAGACAGCCCAGCGGCCGGGCGGGGGAGCTGGGTCGGCTCCAGCCACCTGGCACGTGGGGGCCGCCAGAGTCAGGGCGCGGGAGCTGGCGGGTGGATGAGCAGCTCCGGGCGAGGGGGGTTCTGGAGCCGGGTCCAGTTCCGACCGCAGCATTCCTGCCCCCGCGTGAGTCACCGGGGCGCCCCCCCACCCTGGCACTTCCGGCTGGCCTGGGGGCCTGGCCGGGGACCCCTCTTTCCAGGCCCCAGTAGCTGCACCTTGAGAGAGGGAGACAGGAGGGACCAAGGGGTCTGGGACCCCCCTCCCCACCAGCAGGCTCTTTCCCAATCCAGATGTGCTTTCCAGATGTACTGCGTCCCTCTTTGCTCCCCCCCTCCAATCCTTTTCCGAGGGAAGGAGAAGGATGGAAGGAGAAAGAGGACACACCCTGAGTAGGGACAAACTGACAAAATTCCTAGACAAGGCACCTCCCCCCCACACACAATGAATCACGCCTAACACACAGGGGCCGTTTTTAGCGCTTAGGCATACACAAAAAACTCAACATTGGCTAAGCTACTCGGATTCCCAGGGCTGATGCTTGTCCCAAACACTCAGTGACACAAACGCACAGTGACTTACTCATAAACACACAGGGGCTGATACTGACGCACATACACAAATGAGTCAACGTTAGGACAAACATAAACACACAAGCACATGTGCACACATTAATCACAAACATCTAACAACAGAATATATGTGGGGTTCGGCGCTTTGGAACACCAACCTCCCTGCGTATTGAGATACACACTCCAGACAACAAGCACACTGAGGCTGGAGAGGGAGAGATTGACCTGCCCCCACCTCCAGCCCCACAGCCACACCTTCATCTGTGCCAAAATAGCCAGACACATTCAGGTTGCTTCACATCCATGGAGATGAAGGGTGTTACGAAAAAGAGTTGTGCAGACGCAAAGGCCTGTCATAGATGCGCAAGGAGGGAGACACTGCGGCGGACACACGGTTGGCACAGGTGTGCAGATGCACACTGGCTGGAGGGTACCCTGGATTCAGCCCCCAAGAGGCAGCTGGGCCAATCAATACATGCAGGGAGACCAGATGGAAGTAGATCTCAGACCTAGGACTTAGTGCTAACAGACTCATGACAGCCCACTTACCCTCTGACATACAGAGACATCCATGGACCTGCATCTATAACAGCCAATAGGAAACACACCAACTTATCCCCCAACACATCCTGATTCCACAGGGGGACAGAAGCCCACACCAGGACGCACTCACACCTATAGATGCACACCTGTGAGCAGACACTATCACATCCACACAGAGAGTGTGCACAAAAGCCACAAAACACACTTACAGCCCTCCCCGCACTCCATGCACACAGTCTCAACAGCTGTGAACACAGAAACACAAAGAGGGATGGACACACCACTCAGTGTAGGTGTCTGTCCTCATAGCTGCACACTGATACACACAAGACCCTCTCATACCTCTCCTCCCTCCCTCTCTCTGTCTCCCTAAGCCTCTCCCAGGTCCTGCCAGGCTGACTCAGGCCCCTACCCGCCACTTGAGCCATGGGCCGAGTCACCTCTCTGGGGGGCCAGCATGGTCACCACATCTTCCTTGCACACTCAGGGCCTCAGGAATGCTGAGAATGTGACACCTCCTTTACCCCAGAGACCACTCCTCACCCCACAGAGGGAAGCAGCAGGTTGGCCTAGGGAAGTGCCTCCCCTGACTGAGCTGACCCATCTGTGTGCCTGTCTCTCCTCCCTCCATAAGGGGGAAGCCCATATCCAAGTTCCCCCAGTTCTGCCTCTGACTGCCATGTGACCCCCAGCAAGGTGCCCCTTCTGTGTGATGCAGGAGAGGGTCACCCAGAAGGAGGGCTTTCCACCACTTGTCCTGACTTTCTCCATCTTGGCTCATCTCTGTGAACTCTTATCTCTCCTTGCATCTCTCATTCTGTCTCTTTGTAATTAACTTTCTCTATCTCCCATTTCCCCTTCCTTCTTCTTCAAAAAGATCTCTTCCCCTTGACCAAGGTCATCAGGGCTCTTCAGGGCTGGAGGTGGACAGGTTGTGTGTGGGGGGGTGCAAGACAGGAGGGGACATTGGTTCCGGTGGCCTGCTTGGGTCAAGGGCTGACAAAGGGGCACCAGACCCACACACTTGGACCACAGAACAGCTCAGAGGAAACCCAGGACAAAGAATGCTATTCAGAGAGAGGCAGGGGTGAACAGAGGGAGAGGCAGAGAGACAGACAGAAAGACATGTGCTCAGAGAAACAGTGAGATAGGCACAGAGAAGCAGGGAGCTGGAGAAGGCACAGAAAGAGGCAGAGGGAGGCACAAGAGAGAGACAAGGAGACAGAGGCAGAACACCGAGATGGGGGACAGTGGGGGCAGATACACAGAGGCCGAATGTGAAGGGCTGTCTTGCCCCCACCTCCACCTCGCCCGGCTCCTCCACTGACCTGGCCCGTGTTCCCACACTCACCTGGGACATGCAGGTTGTGCTGGGGGCTGTGGGCCATGTCCAGGCTCAGGGGGACAGCATCCTGGAGCCAAAGTAGATTCACAGGTTCTGGGGGTCCCTGGGCCCAGCAGCTCAAGTTGAAGGGGGTGTTAGCTGTCACAATCCTGTCTTCCGGCTCTTCCAGGAAGTAAGGCAGGCCTGTGGGGAGGGCGGTGGATCCCTCTGAACCTCCCAGGTGTCTGAGCCACTTCTAAGATGGTGAGTGAGGCTTTGGACATCAGACTCACCTTGCAGGGTCTCTTGCCAACCCCCATGTCTGAATCCTCGGGACACCTGAGCCTCCTTTAGATGACTGACCCAGGATACATAAGCCCAATACCTGATTCCCCTTATGCCTGACCCCCAACATACCTGAGCCCCTCATGTTTCTTTTCCCTCCCTCCCTCCCTTCCTTTGTGTGTACATGTGTGTGCGCATGCACTGGGGATTGAACCCAGGGGTGGTCTAACTCTGGGCTACATCCCCAGCCCTTTTTTAAATTTTCTGAGACAGGATCTTGCTAGGCTGCTGAGGCTGGCCTCAAAATTGCAATCCTCCTGCCTCAGTCTCCTGAGTAGCTGGGATTACAGGCTTGCACCAACACACATAGTTGGTGCATATCTGATTCTCTTTCCCACAATGTGTAACTCCTCATCTCATCTTACTGATGGGGGAACTGAGGTCCCTGGAGATGGGAAAGACAGTTAAGTCACCTGCCTCTGACTCCTTACCTAACCCCAGAATGTCCTACTCCAAGCATGTCTGCCCCTCAGGACACCCAACAACTCCTAAGATGTCTTCTCCCCAAGATCATATAATCATAGTCCCTCAAACCTGCTCCCCCATAATTGTGGACTCACAGTTTCCTGACCTCTGAAGATCTCTGACATTCCTAGGCTGTATGTCCCCAGGGGCCTTGAGTCCCCCAGCACCCTCTGATCCCTCAGAACCTATGACCCAAGGACTCACCTTCCAGCCCTATGTAGCCAGGCTGGGACATGAAGGTCTGTCCGCCCAGAGCCACCGCACACTGGTACTGCCCGGCATCTGTAAGCTGCAGGGATTCGATTCTGGCAGAAGAGGAGGGATGGAGAGGTGGGGGTCAGAGTTGAACATTGGCAAAGGTCACCAGAACTGGGAGGGGGCCTGGACTGAAAACTCACAGGGAGGATGAAGTAGACACTATTTTTAATTCATTTTACAGAAGAAGAAAGTGAAACCCCGAGGTCAAGTCACCAGTTCAAGCCACACAGCCTGCAAGTGGTCAAGCTGGGATTCCAGCCCAGGAAGGGCCTCTTCATCCTCTGCTTGATGGAGGGGGGTGTAGACGGAGGTGGGGAGAGGCTTGTAGGGGGAGGGGTGACTGCACACCTGAGTTGGCTGACCACTTTCCATTCATCGTCCCAGTCTTCGCCCAGGGGCACCTGGGTTTGGGTGCTGTCTGCCAGCTCTAGGATCTGTCCATTCTGAAGCCAGGTCACCTCCGGGGGCTCCCCCTGAACCTGGAGCTCACACCGAAGGGTCCCCACCATTCCTCGGGCACCAGTGATGTTCCCTGGACTCCCCACAAAGGGATTATCAGCCTCAGCCTTTGCTCCTATGGGGAAATGGGAATTTAGGAGTTTAGGAACCCCTAATTCCCTCCAGCTCCACAGTTTCACCCTGTCTCTGCCTGCCCACTGGCTGCCAGGACCCCGCCAGGCCTTTAGGCCCACATAGTTGTAGAGTGACCTCAGAAGGGGGTGGAGGGCCTAGGCTTGGGGGAGGATGGGAGTTTTCCCAGGGGACTGAGGTCCAGCCTCCATCCCTCCGTTGGGAAGGAGGCCCGGGATCTGGCAGCCTCCCACGCCCTGGGTTGCCTGGCAGGGGCCAGTGCCTGCCCCAAGGGTCTCTAGAGACTTCACAGATCAGGCTGGTGGATACAGGGGAAGAAAAGGGGCCAGGAAGAGAGATGGGAGAGAGAAAGAGAGAGATGGAAAGACAGAGACAGAAATGAAGAAATACCCCTCAAGAGGGGAAAAGAGGGGAGAGTCACAGAGAGAGACTGAGAAGAGAGAGAGAGAGAGAGACAGACAGGTAAGACAGACACTGACTTAGAGAACATGGAGAAGCTGGGCATCGTGGCTCACACCTGTAATCCCAGTAACTTGGGAGGCTGAGGCAGGAGGATCACAAGTTCAAGGCCAGCCTCCACAATTTATGGAGGAATTTGGCAAGACCCTCTCTCAAAATGAAAAATAAAAACGGATGGGGATGTAGCTCAGTAATAAAGTTCCCCTGGGTTACAAGGAAAGAAAGAGAAAGACAGGGAAATGAAAAGAGAGAGAGAGAGAGAGAGAGAGAAATGGAGCCCCCCACAGGGGTGACAACTGGAGGCAGAAGCTCCCCAGAGAGGAGCAGACCTCAGTGGAGCCGGGACAGGTGTCGGGAGGTTGACAGTGGAAAGGGGACTCTCAGGATTCCGCCACTCCTGGGGCTTCTCTGTGGGGATCCCAGCCTGCCCTCCCTGAGCCCCCAGCTCAGCCCCTCTGCCTTGGGCTCCCTCCCTCAAATTCCCCTGTCCGGCTCCTCCATTTCTCCCGCCTGGGCCCTCCCAGTTTCTGTTTCTTGTCCTTCTGTTCCTCTCTGCCTCGTCTCTTCCCTGCGGTCTCGATAGTTCCCAGTCTCTGTTTCCCCCTCTCCTCTCTCCGAGTCCGCTCTCCGTTGTCCCAAGGAAACTCCCTAAGCCAGCCCAGCACCCCGCCACCTGCCATCCATCCCCCGCCTCCTCTCTCCACTTCCCTTGTCCCTGGGTGGGTGGCCCGGCCCGAGGGCCCCCATCACTCACCCTCGGGGGTCGCGCACCCCCAGCAGCACAGCACCAAGCACCAGGCCAGCGCCCTGCCCATCCTCCGGCCCCACCGCGCCACCGAGGCCAAACTTTCCTCCGAAGTTGCTGGGCGCCCTGCAGGGGAGGGGGCAGGGCCGGGCTGTCCCCGGCCCTCCCCCCAGCCCTGGGCTCCCCGGCTTTGGCACTGCCCGCCTGGCCCAGCGGGGCCCCTCTGCCGGCTTCGCTCCTCGGCAGCCGCCTTCTCGGTCCCCGGTCCCCGGCCTCCTCTCCTCCCAGACTTCGGACAACCCTTTCCCCGCCCCCGGCTCCCCCTCTGCCTCCGCCCCCGGCGGGAGCCCGGGGGGCCACCTGGGCAGAAAGGGGTTAACCCCGAGAGCAGGGGACCAGCCCGGTCTTAAAGGGGCCTTGGAGGGAGGCGGGGAAGGGGGACAGGGACCCTGGTGACGGCGCCCCTCTCCTGGGCCCAGAAGGCAGGAGGCTGCGCCTCTGTGCTGGGTTCTGGGCGCTGTCCCCTGGGCTCTCTGGGTCTGGTAAACATTCTTCCAGAACTCCACTCCCCTCTCAGCCCACGACGGCCCCCTGCCTCCACCCCGGGCCCGGCCCTAGCCAGGCCTCCTTGGCCCTTCATTCCCCCCTCACACTCAGGGCTCCTTGGACAAGGACACACACACACACACACACACACACACTCAGATGGCATTGACACAGAGCCTGGTGCAGGCAGAGGCACGCAGGGGCACGCTGCCCTGCCTGCCCATGGACACCTTCAGGCAAGTCAGGTCGGGAGCTGCCTCCTAGGGAAAGCTCAGAGACGGAAGTTCACTGCTGGGTGGGCATCCCAGGGGACACGGATGCTGACACACAGAAGCTGGACACCAGTGTGTGTGCGTTCATGGGAGCACCCCCAGACCCAAGTCCAGCTCTCCCACTAATGATGTGACTGTGGGCAAGTGACTGGCCTCCGTCCCTCAGCGTGTCCCTCTGTAAGATGGGATTAAGAATAGGGTCCAGGGAGCAGGCTAGTTGGAGGGTGATCTGGGTCAAAGTGCCTGCAGTTCCTTGCACGTGGCAATGACAGCTGACAAGGTGCCCAGCGGTTTGGACTTCTCTGTCTCTGCACTTGCGCTGCTCCCTCCCTCTGGCCTCATTGTGCATCCAGGTCCTTGCAGATCCGGGACCTGGGTATTGGCTGCCCCTGCATGGCCATTTCTGCATCCCTGTGTGTTGGGCACAGGGGGCTCTGTGTGCCTGGGAGTCTTATGTACGAGGTGGCTGGGTGCCCGACTCTCTGCCCTTGGCCATTTCTGTTTGGGTCTCCGTATCCCAACAGCTCATCATTAAGTCCTGTCTATTTGGCCTCCTGGTGTTTTTCTCTGTCCCCTTCTCTAGGCCCCCTCCTCTCCTCTTTCTCCCTCCAATCCATCTCCTCTTTAGCAACCAGAGGGATGTTTCTGAGACCCAAATTAGACCTGTTTTCCCCTTCTTAACTGTGACTCCCCTCTGCCCTTGGGGTGAGCACCTAGCTCCTCAGCAGGCCACTCAGGACCCTTCCCCATTAGTCTCCTTGGGCTGTCTCATTTGTATCCCACCTTGGTGATGGCCCCAGCATTCATCCTGCCACCCAGGCCTGAGCCTTGGGGTCCTCCTGGGCACAGCCAATTACTGATATCCATGGAGACTCAGCTCACAGACCTCTTTCCCACTTGCCCTTGTTTCTCCCTATAACCCCACCCTGGTCCAGCCCCAGTGTCTCCCACCTGGACACAGCCCTGGCCTCCAGCCTGGGCCACCAGCCTCTACTCCTTCTCCCATTCAGCAGTCAGAAGAATGTTTCCCAATCCCAAATCTAACCTTCTCCCTGCCTTGCCCCCAACCTTTTTAGACAAACCCCCTACAGAGGCCCATGAGGACCCCCTCAGAGTCCTAACCCTCCCTCTCCTTTGGTGTCTTTCACTTTCTGACCCAAAGAACCTTCTTACAGGTCTTGGAGCATCTTTTTGCAGCTCAGCTTTCTGTCCCCAACTCCTACATACCCCTCATCCATATCCCTAGGGTCCCCTCTCCACTGTATCACTACCCGGCCCCTCCCAGTATGACCTAGGCCCTTATGTTGTTCACTCCCAACATCCTGTCCTTTTTCTTTCTTTGGGGGGGGGTGCAAAACTTTGCATGGGTTGTCATTATAGATTTATTTGACACAATTTTGTCTGTCTTCTTGGCTGGACTGTGGGCTCCAGAAGGGTGTAGCTGACTATACATCTAAGTTACTACTGTACTCCACTATCCTGTACAAAGCCTTGACATATAGGTGACAATAATTCTGACTTTTGGGGGGATGGAAATATGTGCAAAGTTCTGCCCCCTTGTTTAGATATATTAGGGATTTCTGCCCACCTAAGGCTCCGTAGAGCCAGCTGGAAGTGTGGCTACCTGGAGCCCGTGAGCACACTTAACTCGAGTTCCGATTGCTAGAACCTACTATGTGTGTAGTACAATTTACCTTCAAATACTTTTTTTTTTTGGTACTGGGGATTAAATGCAGAGGCACTCTACCACTGAGCTATATCCCCAGCCCTTTTTATTTTTTATTTATTTATTTTTAAGACAAGGTCTCACTAAGCTGTCAAGGCTGGCCTTGAACTTGTGATCCTCCAGCATCGCTGGGATTCCAGGTGTGTGCCATGATGCCCGGTAGAAATGCATTTTTAAAAAAATTATTATTTAATGAGAAGGACAGGTATAGAAGTGCCCTTTGTGTTGGGGACTGGTGCTTCCACAGTGAGCAGGACAGGGCCATGTCCTCATTGAACTCCTGTTGTAAGGAGAGGAGAAACAACAGGCACAAAAATACGTATTAGGATGCAGGATGGGACCTTGAGGAGAAATAAGGCAGGGGAGGGGACAGCAAAGAGTGGAAGTGCTATTTCAGAGAAAGGGCTGCGGAAGGCTTCAGAGGTTGTGATTGAGTCTAAGGGAAATCAGTGAATGAACACGTAGAGAAGAGCATTCCAGGCAGAGGGAGCAGCCCGTGCAGAGGCCTCCAGGTCGGCCTGAGACAGACTCAATGAACTCTGGGGAGGCCCTTCTGACTGGAATGAATGGAGGCCGGGGCAGGGGGAGGATGGATCAGGGAGGGTTCCAAGTTAACCCCTGGGAAGGCTGGGAAGGCCTCTGGTCTTTATTCTATGGTGGGAACCCCTGGTGGGACTTGAAAGGGAGAGACAGGAGCTGATCTCATTTTGTTTATTTATTTATTTATTATTATTATTTTTTTAAATAATAAATCAAACGCAGGGCCTTGTGAGGGATGGAAGCAAGTACTCTACCACTAAGCTACAGCCCCAGCCCTGGATCTGATTAAAAGATCCCTCTAGGTGAGCATGGTGGAACATGTCTGTAATCCTAGCACTCAGGAGGCTGAGGAAGGAGGATCACAAGTTCAAGACAAGTCTCAGCGATTTAGTGATACCCTGTCTCCTAAATAAACAAACAAACAAATAAATAAATGGTTGGGAATGTAGCTCAGTTGTGGAGAACCCCTGGATTCAATCCCCAGTACCTAAATATGTAAATAAGACTGGGAATATAGCTCAGTGATGGAACATGAACCAGCGTCTACCCAGAGCTCCAAAAAAGAAAAACGAAAGGGTAAACTTCAAAGAGGGAGTAACTGAGTAGGTAGTTTTTGTTGGAGATGACGTAAGGTTTAGGTGTAGTGGGGATGGCTATTCACACATAGTGAACGTACTTAATGCACTAAATCATGTACTTTGGGTTAAAATGTTATCTATATTTTGCCACACATACAAATATATTTGAAGACTATACTAATTATTTTTACTTTGGGGTTCAATAATTCCTAGTATTGAAGCATATTTTTTCTTGATACTGAAATCATCCTCAGTCAGCTTGCTTTCTTGTCCCCCACCCCCCGCCCAGTGCTGTGGATGAAACTCAGGGTCTGGGCCTGATCTATGCCCAGTCTCTGATGTCAGTTTTTATATTGATACAGGGCAAGGTCTGTGCCTCTAAATAAATTGATTTTCTGATTTTTTTAGTTGTAGATGGACACAATACCATTATTTTGTGTATATATATTTTTTATGTGGTGCTGAGGATCGAACCCAGGGCCTCATACATACTAGGGGAGCACTCTACCACTGAGCCACATCCCCAGCCCATCCCTGAATCTGACTTTTGAGTGCAAATGAGATCTAAGTCATCACCGTAATTTTTTTTTTAAAGGAAAAATTTTAAACTTCATTCCTTTTGGAATGTCAAAGTATTAAGAATGGTACTGTTAAATCCAATAATTTTAAAAGTGATAATATCATGGAAAATGCTTTTTAAAAAGGAAATATTAACTAACGATATAGACTTTTAAGTTTTTAGATGAACGGATGCCTGTAACGTACTTGGAGATATTTCCCTGAGCTCCATGCTCAGGTAGGTAAAAAAAAAAAAAAAAAAAAAAAGTCACAATCTAACAAAAGGCCTGGGGGAGAACCCTGGACACAGCAGATGCTCAACTCCTTCCACTTATGCTGCATGTTTAAAAAACTGTCACAGGGGTTGGGGACTTAGTTCAGTGGTAAAATCCTTGCCTGGTATGTGAAAGGCCCTGGGTTCAATCCCTAGCACTGAAAAAAAAAAAAAAAAAGTGGATAAAAAAACTGTCATAATAAAATGTTGGAGGATTTGTACCCACCCAGGGATGCAAAAATAATAATAAATAAAAATTAATTAAAAAACTAAAATGCTGAGAGAGGGAATGTCCTTAATGCTTAGGCATGCATGTTCAGTTTTTTCTGGGATTTGTCTTAAAATAACTCAAGAGTGACAGATGAAATAAGGCAGAAAGTTGACGGTTCTCTTCTATTTTATTACAAAACTTGTTTTGGTTGCTGGGAATCAAACCCAGGGCCTCCTGCATGCGGAAAACTTTCCTTAGATAATTTAAGAAGGAAAAAGATGCCTTTGGTTTCCTTGTGAAGGGACGGCAGCACAAGGGTGGTGGAAAAGGACAGTGGGGGAGGGTCTGGGCCTTGATGCCTGCGTACATCTGTTTTCAGACACTTCTCAGGGTTTGAATCCATCAGCTTTGGGCTTTCCCTGGCTGAGCAACCGGCCATCAGCCCCAGCCCTGTCCCTCCCCTTCCCTCCCCTCTCAGCCCCACATCTGGTCCTGATGTCAACAGCCAGGGTGGGCGGTGACCATGTTTTTCAGCTCCCGCCCAACCTCAGGGGAGGGGTGAACTCCCCCATCTCCACCCCTTACTCACTAGGACAGACACAGTCACACAGGCACAGTAGGCCCTGCCCTGGGCCAGACCAGGGGCCAGAGACAAACTTTTATTGCAAAATGGAGACCTTCAAGCCACAAAGAGGTCAGGTCTGGCCTCCTTCCTGGCACTGGGGGTTGGGACCTGGACCCTGCTTGGACATCTAGCCCCTTTCCAGGGCCTAATGGGGACTTTGACCACAGAATAGGGGCTGTGTGTGCGTGCGTGTGTGGTGGGAGCAGGTGAGAGTCCTCCGGTGTCCAAAGTCTGTGTGCCTAATTGCAGATCAGAAAATATTTGTATTGGAGAAAATTTACTGAAAGGGGTACTCCTAAAAGGGTGTCCCTGAGGGACAAAGGTATGGAGCTGACTGGGGACTGTGCCTCTGTAAGAGCAGCATGTCTCAGTGGGAGCCAGGAAGGTGCCATGCGAGGGCTGGCTGAATGGATCAGTGGTTGGCGTGTGTGGACAGGGGTGCTTATGAGCTTGGAGGGCAGTGAGGTCACCCAATGGAGCATACTGGGGCTGACGGGACACCCTGACTGTGGCATGACCCAGGAGGTGCATTTTGCTCTCTGTGGCAGGCACCCAGAGATGGTGGCACGGGTGTGTGAGAGCTGTGAGCATGGTGGCTGGACTCCCACATGCAGGTTGAGAGCCCAGGGAACCGTGGGTTGGCATGGGCTGCTGGGTTAGCTGGACAAGTGCTTGCATTTCTGCAGATAGCAGTGGTGGCCCTCGTGGGTGAGTATGGGCATGTGGCTGATGCCTCGGCAGCAGCACAGGCCACTTGTCTGTGAAAATTCCAGAAAACATATGTGTGGGTAGGTGGGAGCCCCTGCAGTGCAGGCTCGTGGCTCTGGAGATACACCCTGTCCACGCATGCCACCGAGGCTGGCAGCCTCTTTCCAAGTGGCTACCTCTGCCCCAAGCTCCCTCCTTCTTCAGCAGGGTGGACCTGCAGCTGGAAGGCGGGTGGGATGTTGAAGAGGCCACTGACAGCTGGCTGGAGGCTCAGGGTGCTCAGGGGGCCTGGGCTCTCCAGAGAGAAGGCCTGTAGGATGGCAGCGAAGAAAAGGAAGAGCTCCGCTCGCGCCAAGCCCTCGCCGAGGCAGACGCGCTTACCTGGCAAGAAGAGGAGAGGGGGCTCAGACAACTCTGTTCATACCCGGGCTCCTAGGGGGAGCCGAGGATGAGCTGGGGATGCAGGGCTGCCCTACCAGGCACTGACAGCCGTGCCAGCCAGGGCCAGTGGTCATAGCAGCAGATACCTAAGGAGAAGGGCAGGAACGCCTCATGCTTCTTGAACTGTCCATTCTCATCCAGAAAACGGTCTGGGTTGAACTCCTCCGGCCGCTCAAAGACTTTGGGGTCATGCAGGACGGAACCAAGGACAGGGAAGATCTCAGTGCCCTGAGGGGAAATAATAAAACTGCAAGTCCCTCACTATCCCAGGCCACCCAGTTCCCCAGTGCAGAATACAAGTCTGGAGAGCTGGGGACACGGTTCACAAAGTAGTTCACAAAGTATGCCAACTGCTGGGTGTGGTGCATGCCTGTAATGCCAGCAAGTGGGGAGGCTGAGGCAAGGGTGACTCAAGTTCAAGTCCAGCCTGGGAAACTTAGCCAGACCCTCAGCAACTTAGTGAGACCTGTCTCAAAACAAAACAAAAATTAAAAGGACAGGGGATGGCTGGGTGTGGCGGGGCATGCTAGTAGTTCCAGTGACTCAGGAGGATGAGGCAGGAGGATCATAAGTTCAAGGCCAGCCTCAGAAATTTATCAAGGCCCTAAGCAACTTAGTGAGACCCTATCCCAAAATAAAAAATAAAAAGGACTGGGGATATGGCTCAGTGGTAAAGTGCCCCTGGATTTAATCCCCAGTACCCAAACTAAAACCCAAAACACCCAACATTAGCATTAATGGCACTCACACATGCTACCTCACATATCTAACAGGAACATGTACTCACATGTACTCACATGCATATACATACAAAATCTTTGAACAATCCTAGGAGGCAGGTAGGAATATCATTCCTGTTTTAAGATGGGGAAATTCAGGCCCAGAGAACTTAAGCAGTTGCTCAAGGTAACCATTTAGAGAGCTTGGCAGAGCTCATTATTTTTCCTTTGTTTTGAATCTTTGGGAGTGTGCTGTGATTCAGCTGTGCCTGTCTAAGCCACCATCTTACAGAGATGAAGACAAGCGGCAGGGCTGTCCATGAAGTCTCCCCCTGCCCAGGTTCAGAGAGAGTGGCAGCCTCTCAGGTGAGTTCCCAGGGTTGTGCAGTGGAGGATGAAGGCAAGGAAGGGAGTATGAGGAGAGGGATGAAACTTTCTTAATTTTCCTCCTTGGGCCCTGGGGATGGAACCCAGGGTGCTTTAACACTGAGCTACATACCAGCCCTTCTTATTTTTAATTTTGAGACAGCATCTCTCTAAGTTGCCAAGGTTGGCCTTGAACTTGTGATCCTCCTGCCTCAGCCTCCTGAGTTGCTGGGATTATAGATGTGCACCACTGTGCCTGGCAGGGGGGACACTTTCTCTGTCAGGGAGTCTAGCTAATGGGCACCGAGTTGGGAAGGTGAAAGGTTCCAGGAAAAGGCCATGTTATTGCTGTTAAAATAACAAAAAAGCACTGAACACCAGTTCACGTGAGTATAAGAGAAAGGGAGGCGGGGGAGGGCAGGCACACATAGAAATAGTTAAAGCATAGATTCTAGTTTCAAATCCTGCTTCCCTGATTGCAAGCTGGGTGACCTTGGCAAGCCTTCTAACCTTGCAAGCTCTCAGTTTCTTCGTCTGTGAATTGGGCATGATAATTGTATACAGTTGTTTTGGAGATAAAGTAAGACATAAAGCCAGGTTCTGGGGCACACATCTATAATCCCAGTGACTCAGGAGGCTAAAGCAGGAGGATATCAAGTTCCAGGCCTGCCTCTCAACTGAGTGAGATCTTGTCTCAAAATAAAAATAAAGGGCTGGGGTTGTGGCTCAAGTGGTAGTGCGCTCGCCTGGCATGCGCGTGGCCCGCGTTCGATCCTCAGCACCACATACAAACAAAGATGTTGTGTCTGCCGAAAACTAAAAAATAAATATTAAAAAAAAAAAATTCTCTCATAAATAAATAAAGAGGGCTGGGAATATAGCTCAGTGATAAAGTGTACCTGGGTTCAGTCTCTAGTACAGCAAGAAAAAAAAGAAAGAAAATAATACATATGTAAAGTACTCACAATACCTGACCCAGCAGATCCTCAAGTGCTGAAACCTATGATTCTTGTTATCATTATATTGTTGCTGTCCTATATAAAATCCCCCCCATCCCTACCACCAAGAGCTGCTTTGATGTTTATTAGCATCATATTAGGACTCTAAATTGATACTGTTAGAGTTCTAAATTTAGAAGAGGGGTATATTGAAGGACAGAGGAGGAAGAGATTTTTCCAAGGTCCCAGTGGCTGATTTCTAACAGCCGCGGATTTGATTCTACACCAAGCAGCAACTGCTTCAGGGTTTTGCATACGTCGCCCCCTAGTGGTTCTGGGTCTGAATTTCTCTCCAACAAAGGGGCAGAGACTGAATGGACTGAATGGGAGACACTGTATGTCTGTCTGCAGCAGGGACTGATGGACAGACAGACATACATTAAGATCAAGAAAAAGACACACCATTAGCAACAGACTCAAGCCCCAAGGGCAGAGACAACTACTGGACCTTGGCTGTCCATAAACCCACCTGGGGCAGGATGTACCCTCGGAAGCAAGTGGTCCTCGTGAGGGAGTGGGGCATCCCCATGGGTACCAGCGCCAGCAGCCGCTGTGCCTCGTGCAGAACTGCATCTGTGTAAGGAAGGCGGGCGCGGTCCCCCAGACTTGGAGCCCGGCCAGTTCCCAGTTCCCGTGTCAGTTCCTCCCGCACACGCTCTGTAAGCAAGAGAAGGGGTGAGGGGTGGGGGGGAACCCTGTAATCTTCCTTTTGGAAGCTGTGGTAATTGGGGTGAGGCTGGCAGGGATGGTGGGGAGGAGCAGCCCCCCAACTTCCCTGAGCCCAGGACCCACACATCCTCTGTGCTGAGCATTTCATTTCCCATTAAGAGAGGATACCATTATCCATCTCTATTTCCCAGATGAGGAAACTGGGAGCCCGAGTCACTTGCCTGATGTCACAGCTAATTTCACCAAAGCCACCAGGCCCCAAGTCTCTTCTTCCAAGTCAGTCCCCACGCCACTGAGCTGACTACATTTAACACGGCTGCCTGATCCGGAAATGCTGGAATTCCTTGGCACTCATTCCCAGCCCTGCCCCTTACCCCCACACCCCTCTATCACTGTGGCAGTTCAGCTCCGGCCCATGCTCTGATGACCCCACATTTTTAATCTACAGCCCTGACTTGTACATCCTGTGGTCTCCTGGATCCCTCCTCCTTGGTGGCTGCAGACTCAATTTATTCCAGACTGGCTTTGCTGTATTCCTTGAGACCAGCTCCTTCGTCATCCTTCCTGTCCCCAGCTCAGGGTGGGCCCTGTCTCCAGCCAGAAACTGGAACCCGTCTCTGTGTATCTCCTTCTCTTGTTCTCCAGACCTATCGATTCTGCCTCCTCTTCCTTCTTCACAGCCTGGTCCAGCTCTGTCCTCCCTGTTCAGGTCCCTCTCCTGCTCCTTGGGTTCCTGGCATCCTCTCTCCCCCTTTATAATCTACTTCTTCGGGCAGAGCACAAAGGTTTTTCTAAAATGCAAAACAGACCCTGCGTTCCCCTGCTCAAAATTCTTTCATAGCTCTCTGCGGCCAACAATCCAGGCTTACAACGGACTACCAAGGTGACAAGACCCTGCAGAAGTCTCCTGCCTTGTGTGTCACCATGCTCCATACTGCAACTGGCAGCCCCCAATTTCTCATAGCTCAGAGGCCCCAAATGCTCATTTTTATGTCCGCGCTCTGGCTCAGCCTGCACATTTCCCCTCTTAAATGCTTACTTCTGTTCCAAGGTTAGCTGGTAGAAAAGGATCTTACTTTGGACCTGAGGATGTTTCAGCAGGAGCAGGAGGGCGTATCGGACAGTGGCACCTATCGTCATTGTCCCAGCAAACAAGAGATAAGTGACCGTCATCAGCAAATTCTTCTCAGTGAATTCCGTGTTTGGCTTTTGTTCCTCCTGGGAGAAACCAGGGAGAGGGGCTCAGAGAACACAGGCTGTGGGAAATAGAAGTCCAGAGGAGTCAGGTTTGGGGTGCAGCACAGCAAGTTAAAAGAACGGTCAGGGATTTTACATAAACATTTGGGAAAAGTGGAGAAGTGAGGACTGATCTCCAGCCCTTTTTTGTATTTTGTTTAGAGACAGGCTCTCACTAAGTTGCTTAGGGCCTCGCTAAGTTGCTGAGGCTGGCCTTGTATTTGTGATCCTCCTGCTTCAGCCTCCTGGGCCCCTGGGATAACAGGAGTGTGCCATGGCACCTGGCTATAATTTTAAATTGTAAGGACTCATCATTCAGTGATTGTAATTCGCATAAAACTCCCATCCAGTGTGAATAGGGGGAGTGTGGGGGGGTAAAGAACTGCTGGGTACAGGACCTGAAACAGGCTGAGGGAGGAACAGAGGTGACAAAGGGACAGAGACACCTGCACTAAAGGCATTCTGAGGGTGGGGGTGAGGGGAGCCAGGGAGAACAACACACAGAGGCAGACAGAGAGCCGAACAGACAGAAAGATGGAGAAGAGGTGTGCACACACATGCAGGGACACATACTCAGGGACACACAGAGAGACACACAGATCCAGTCGAGATCCCCAGGCACAGTTGACCCAGGGGGCCAGCCAGACCACCAACTCCATTTAAGGCAGATTCATGCATCCCTCCCACTTCGTCCCCACCTGCGCCATCTTGAGCAGGAAGGCATCCACAACATCACGAGCAGGTCCTGAGCTGTCCAGGCTCCCCCGGTGCCGTTGCACCTGCTGGGCTGCAAAGGTGGCCAGGGTGCCCAAGTGATGGAGGAGCTGTGTGTGGGGACCTGGCAGGGGTCGCAGGAGCCAGGAGAACATCTCATAGGTCTGTGGGTGGAAGAACAGCTGGCTCTCAGAGGGCTTGGCAGGAACCTTTGTGGACGGTGGCTGGAGAGGCATCCCACACACTTACCTGGCCCCATGGGGAGCTGATCCCCAGCAGAGTATCACCAGCGGCCTGTATGATAGCCTGAAACTCCTTGTCCTTATAGGGGAAGCGGAGGCCAAAGGTGAGGGAGCAGATGACATTGGAAGTGGCCTGGGCCAGCAGCAGGGAGGGATCAAATGGACGTCCTGGGGGGTGTGAAGGGCAAGGGAACTAATATGGCACTTGGCAGACCCCTGAATACAGAGCGGAGGGCAGGCCCAACTAGAGAGAAACAGATAGGCTGTGCCCGTCATTCCAGTAACTTGGGAGGCTGAGGCAGGAGGATCACAAGTTGGAGGTCAGTCTCAACAATTTAACAAGATGCTGGGGAACTTAGTGAGACCCTCAGCAACTTAATGAGACCCCATCTCAAAAAAAAAAAAAAAAAAAGAACTGGGGATGCAGCTCAGTGGTCAATCCCTTCAATCCCTAGTATAAAAAAAAAAAGAAAAAGAAAGAAAAACAGGTGAATGGATAGAGAGACAGAGAGGATTATACACAAATAGAGGAAGACGGGCAGAAAGAAACAGTGGCAAAGGGAAAAAAGAGGGATGGAGGCCCCCAAAGAGGGAGGTGACAGCATCAGGGACATAAGAGATTTGTGACACCCTCATGGGGCAGCAAGATGGAAAAGAGTGGAGGTGAGCAGAGACCCCAGTCCAGCCTCAAAGCCCCAGGCTTCCCCCTCTCTCCCGACCCAGCCAGGCCCTTGCACTGACCTTCTGTTTCCCGGAAAGCCTCCACCAGACACTGGACCTCCGCCTGGATCAGCTCCTCGCCTTCTCGCTTCCCCATGCCCAGGTCCCGCAAGGCCAGCATGGTGAACTTTCTGAGCTGCTTCCATCGCTCCCCGTTGGCAAAGAAAACTCCTGTGTGGAAGTCTAGACTCAGGAAGGGACTGGTCCCTTCCCTGCAGGGAGGTGCCCCTAGATCCCTGTCCTGAATCCATACCAGCCTCCCTCAGGCATGAAGACTCAGTAGGTGCTCAATAAATGCACACGCAACTGGGATGATCCAGGCTCCTTTTGCTCTGTGATTAACCAGGGTGAGTAAAAATTCCTTCCTTCCACCTGTTCACCTTCTTTCCTCTTCCTCCCACCCGTCCATCCTAGCAGATACAGAGCACCACTGAATCCTCTGCCCCACAGTTGGGAAGACAGGAAGGATGGGACTCAGCTCTCTTCCTCCTTTATTCAAGACACCTGCTCTAGAAGATCTTCTCTTGCTCTGAGTTTAGTGTTTCTACCTCTTGAATGCTGGCCAGTAGTGGCCTCCTGGATGGACACCTCCTCCTGGTGTCCCCTGTTCTTCCCTGTGTCCCCTCCACCCCTGTTCCAAACTGGAGTCAGTATCTCTCCTTCCCCATCTCAGTGCACCATCCATCTGGCCCCTGCCCTGGTCCCTGGGGTCCTCTCTGGGCTCCCAGCCTTCAGTTCTGTCCCTCTGCAGTAACCAGTGAACCTGGATCACAAAGTCAAGGTTAGCCTGGGCAACACAGCAAGATGCTGTCTCAAAATGAGAAATAAAAAAGGGTTGGGAGGTAGCTCAGTGGTAAAGCACCTCTAGGTTCAGTTCCAAGTACCAAAACTAACTAAATAACTAATTAATTAATTAAAATACTTCAAGGTTTCCAGGAAAGGCTCTGGTGTGACTCAGGCCCTCCACGAGCAGGGTCTCCTGACCTCTCAGTTCATTACTCATGGCCAGGCTTCTCTCACTTCCTGCCCCTGCCAACCAGCCTTTGGACCTGCTGCTCCCTCTGCCTATATGCCTCTCAGAACCTCCCTTCTAGGTGAACTAACTCCACTTACATTCCAGCTTAAATGTCACCACCCCTGAGAAGCTGTCCCTAAACCCTCGCATCCCACCCCCAGTACACAGTCCTGTGTCCAGCTCTGAAAGCTGCACTTCAATATTTGAGAAGGCTATTTCCTTCCTCCGTTGTCTCATTCCAAGCCCCCTCTCTCACACTGAGTGGACGCTGCATCTGTCCCATACAGGGCAGGCATGACGGGCTGTCAGTGCTTTTGTACAATCTGGTCTTTCTGCCTGGAACACCCTTCCCTCTTATCCTGAGTCCTAACCCAGACATCTTCTCTTCTAGGCCCACTTCTTGGATGTTCCCCACCCCATAGTCCGAGTTAGGTCCCTTTTTTTGGATTCCTATAGTCCCAGGGCTTCCCCCAGGACAGCCTGGGCCTCCCCATCATGGCCAACCCCTTTGAGTTGTCATTGTCTGGTGACAGCTCTGTCTCCTCACTAAGCCTAGGTGCTCTGGGGGAGCAGGACAGGGGCTATGTCACCAGCTGAGCAAAGCACGGGTCGCCTCCTTCTGTCTTAACACGGAGGATACTTATATTTTTTGTATTGTGAGTGTTCGCCTATCAATTCCAGAGCCTTGAAAGTTCTCCCACCCTGGGGCTTCACTTGGGTCCGTGATTAGTAACTGCACAAGGCCCCATCTTCTTTTCCTCCTTGGGACAATCCTATGTGATAGGTACAATTCTTGTCCCACTTCCCAGAGAAGGGAACAGAGGCACTAAGCTACATGCAAAAGGTCACGTACCTGTAAGTGGGGGCAAGACCCAGCAGCCCCCCACTCCTCTCATGACTCACCATGACCATCAAAAACCTGGTCCAGCGACGCCAGGGTTCCCCGCCCGCTGAATTCCTCCGCTTGACCTCCCAGGGCCTCCTGCACAGCCTCATGCCCAACCAGGACCACCACTCTCCGCCAGGGGCCCAGGTGCACAGTGAACACTGGCCCATACTTTTCACTCAGCTGTGGGCAGAGAGGGAGAGGGGGCCAGCTGCTGTGGGGCCGGGACTGCCACTGTCAGCCAAGGGGCCTCCATCCTGATGGAACCCAGTCCTAGGAGGAGCCATCTGGTCCGGTACAAACCAGGAACTTGTCCCCTCCCCCCAAGCAGAAAGAGCCCCTGTCAGAGGCTAGTTCTCTTTCTGCACCAGGCTCCCAGGCCCCTTCCTCCCAGATCTCATCCCCCTACTTCCTGCCAGACCCTAACCTCTGACCCTGGGACAGTTCCAAACTAGTTTTGAGCTACAGAAGTGCTCCCTCTCCCCCTTCCCTTTCCATCACTACTAAAACCTCAAATTCTAGGGCAGATATTGTTAAGCGCTGCCCCTCCCCAGACGCCCACCCCCTTTCTATGTCCTCAAAGTCCCTCAGAATCCTCTAGGATGGGGCGTCTCTTCCCACCCCAACCCCTGAAGGTTGGGACTGCCTCCCCTTCTTCCCACCAGGTCCCAGGAGCTCAGCTCCCTCCTAGCGGCTGCCCCCGTCCTCCCACACCCTGTGTCTCTGCAGGCAGGTTCCTTCAGCCTGGGAGGCCCCCTCCTCGGAGCCCAGAGACCTCCGACCTCCCTCCCCCTCCACAGCACCCCAGAGACCCTCGCTTCCTTCTTCTCATCCCCACTCAGGACACTTCCTCTCCTCCGGGGACAAGCCCAGTACCACCAGCCACTACTTTTGAAGGCTCCATCCTAACCTTTGGTCCCAGGCCACCAGCTCCCCAGAATTCTGGAGTCCTCTGCCCTGGAACCCCTGCTTCCTACCTCTCACCCCCTCCAGGAATCTGGGGGCTCTGCCCCTCCCAGCCCGGTCCCCAGCGAGGATACTCTCTCCAGGGTACCCCTCTCCTTCTCAACCCTGGACAACCTGCTCCTGTCCTCCATCTCGCAGGGCATCCTAGCCCCTTTGCTCTGGGATATTCCTGGGACACTCGAGAACCCCTGTGCCCTGGCACACAGAGGACCCTCAACCCCCGGCCAGGTGGCCTCCGCCGCCCCTCACCTGCAGGAAGCCGGAGTACAGCGCCCCGGGACGCAGTTGCAGGAGGTTCCCCAGCAGCGGCAGCGGCGCGGGCCCCGGGGGCAGGTGGCCTCGGGCCCGGTTCCAGGGCAGCGCCAGCGTCAGCAGCAGCAGCAGCAGCAGCGCCAACAGCAGCACCCAGGTGCCGGCCGCCTCCATCTCGCAGGTCGCCTCTTCCTCCTCCCGAGGCTTCCCGAGGCTGGGTCAGTGAGGGGCGGGAGCCAGGCGGCTTCCTCCCCCACGAAATCAGGCGGAGGCGGGTGGGGCAGCAGCCTATCCCCTCACCTGCTGGCTGGCTTCTCTCCCCGCGGTCGGATCTCCTCGGGGCCACCGCCGCCGCCGCCGCCGGAGGTTGGGAATGTACGCAGGAGCCGATCTCGCAGGTCGCCTAGTTTTTCCCGGGCTTCGGGGTTGGCGGGGCGGAGAAAGCGCCCTGGGCCCCAGGTAGGGCGTCAGCAAACGAGGAGAACCTGTGAGCCCAGACTTTGGCTGCCTGTAGGCGGCCACACCTCGCGCCAGGCGGCGACCTGGCGCAGCCCTCCAGGGCTCCTACCTCCCTCCGCATTGTTATTGAGTGTGCGAGCGTGCGTGTGTGCCTGTGCTGTTATCTGAGAGCCTCCAGCATCTTCATGAACTTGGAAGAGGGACTTGACCTTCAACGATGAAGAATCTGCGGTCGAGAGGTCGATTACTTACCTAGCTTGGGCCAGGTCCTGGTTTCAATCCCCAACACCCCCAGAAAAAGGGGGAAGAATCTGTTAGCTCAAGATCATGAGGCTAAATGACAGCTAGTATTTGGACCCAGATCAGTCTGATTCATTGATTCATTCACTTAAAGGCATCTTGCATAATGGTTATGGTTAGGAGCTTGACAGCCGGAGTCAGACTACTTAAACTCACAGCTGAGCTTTTCTGTGCATTAACTCTTGTACAATAGGGCTAGTTTTCAGAATTAAATAAGTACATATCTACTCAAAACTTAAAACAGAGTAAGGTGCATATATAACAATTACTAACTAAATGTTAGCTAATATTTCTACAAATAATTGCTATGGAGGGCCATGTGGCATGGTGTGTTGCCTGTGATCCTGGGGATTCGGGAAGCTGAGGCAGGAGGATTGCAAATTCAAAGGCAGCCTCAGCAATTTAGGGAGGCCTTAAGCAACTTAGTGAGACCCTGTCTCAAAATAAAAAATAAAATAAAATAAAAAGGGCTGGGAATGTGGATCAGTGGTTAAGCGCCCCTGAGTTTGATCCCTAGTACCAACCAACAAACAAACAAATAGATAGATAAATAATCATTGTTACAGAGGTCCAACTACAAACAAGGATTTGTTCTACAGGGACTGCTGAGGCAGGAGGTGGCAAGTTCAAGGCCAGCTTCAGTAACTTAGCCTGACCTTGTCTCAAAATAAAGTTTAAAAAGGGCTGGGGGTGTAGCACCCTTGGATTCAATCCTCAGTACAGAGAAAAAGAAAAAAAGGCTTTGTTCTAGACCTGAGGATGCATTATGAGCAATCCAGAGAAGGGCCCTGCCCTCTCTGAGCTCATATCCACAAGCAAATTAAGTTAAAATTAGATAATCAGGAAGCGCAGAGGCCTGCTGGGGGAATGGGCTTGTTGAAGAAGAGAACATGTCATGCATGGGGGGCAGGAAACAGTGTGGGTCCTATTCACTGCTGTATCCCCAGCATCTAGTGCAGTGTCCTGCACACAGTAGGTGCTCAATAAATATTTATTGCCTCAAAGATTAAATCTAGAGCTGGGGGCAGTGGCACATACCTGTAATCCCAGCTACTGGGGAGTGGAGGCAGGAGGATTGCAAGTTTGAGGCCAGCCTCAGCAAGTTAGTGAGGACCTAAGAAACTTAGTGGGACCCTGTCTCAAAATACAAAAATTAAAAAGGGCTGGAAATGTGGATCAGCAAAGCACCTCTGGATTCAACCTCCTGTACCAAGTAGATAAGTAAAAATTCAATAAACAAATAAAAAGAACTAAGGATGTATCTCAGTGGTAAAGTGCCCCTGAGTTCAATTTCTCAACAAGTGCCAACAATAAATGAATTAAATAAATAAATATAGAGGGTTGAGGACATTGCTCAGAAGTGGAACATTTACTTATCATGTGGGAGACTGAAGGTTCAATTCCCAGGACCAAAAAATGTAAACAAATGAATGAATGAATAAACAAACACATAAATAAAAGATTGACTGTAGGAGATAGGATCCTGGAGATCTCCAGGGAACTGGTTTGCAGGGCAAGACTGTATTTTGGAAAGACTTTGCATTTTATTTCTAGTGCAAAAGGGAAGCAGTTTGTTTCCCTATTTGCTGGTGTGATGTCCTGAGCTGCTTTCCTCGGCCATTTTCCCTGATATTCTGCTTTATCTCAGGCCCTGAGGAATGGAGTCAGCCACCTATGGACTGAGACCTCTGAAACTACAAGCCCCCAAAATAAGTTTTCCTCCTTTAAAGAAAAAAATTTTTAAAAGGCACCCAGCAGAGCAGTTACTTTGCATTTTCATTTAACATTTTAGTTTGAAAACTTTTGAACATATAGTGAACACCTGTATATGGTAGGAGAGAGAAAACTTTCTTACTGTACTCTGAAGTTTTGAAAATTGAGTTTATGAAATAAACAGAATAGGGGCTGGGGATGTGGCTCAAGCGGTAGCACGCTTGCCTGGCATGCGTGCGGCCCGGGTTCGATCCTCAGCACCACATACAAACAAAGATGTTGTGTCCTGAAAACTAAAAAATAAATATTAAAAAAATTCTCTAAAAAAAAAAAAAAGTTAAAAAAAAAGAATAGACAGGTTAATTGGGGAAATTTTTAATTGCATGCATATGCACAGGAATTCTAGAAAATAGAAGGGTTAGTTGATTGAAGTTTACTAAGCATCCTGAGCTAAAGAAAAGAATAGGGAATTGGACTCTGGGTTGGGGACAAGCCAGAGAAAGGTGAGATTTGTACCTGCATGGTGAATAAAGACTGCAGATAAAGTCTCTCAGGTAACAGAAGTGATCTCAAAGCAGTCATCTTCCTGATCCAGGTATTTTCCTAATGTCGATTTCCTTTAGAGATATACATTTGTTTTACAAAAGACAGCTTCTCCTGTCTGCAGTTTTCCAAAATATGTCAAGGAAATATGTCTTGTAGTGGTGCGTTTTGGCCTCCAATGGTCGTATTTTGGAGTGGTGTGTTCTGAGCCCCCCAAATACTCACCCCCTAAATTCTACCAATAATATTTTATTGAACTTTGTTATGCATCTATCATCTTGCCCCATTAATCCAACTTTTTTTTTTTAATGAATTCCAAAGTCATGTCATAGGAGAAAATATCTCTGAAGAAGGGTCTGGGAAGTTTCCAGAGAGAAGGAGAAACTTGACTCAGGACCAACGGAGTTCTTGGCATACGTGGTGGAAAAGAATTTCAGTATGTGCCAGCCAAAGGCATAGACAGGTTTATTTAGGAAAGTAGACACAAATTCGAGGGAGAATGTGCAACCACCCCTTGGTGTGGTATGTTAAAACTTCTAGAGGGCTGGTGTTAGGGGCTGGACTGGAGGCGGAGTCAGGAGGGAGTTTCTTGCCTGTTTTTCCTGCGCTTGCGCATTACCCTCATGTTACAAGGGCTCTGGCCCAGGAGTTGCAATTGTTCATGAGTGTTTTCTGCATTTCATTGGTTCTTGGGCACTTCTTTGAGATTCAGTATCTCTCCCTTTATTACCAGATTCCTATCTCAGTCAGTTGCACACTCAAGTACACTTCACTCCCAAATGCTCCACACTTGCTAAGCAAGTTCTCCACCACTGAAATACACCCCAGCACCCCCACCCCTTTTTCTGTTGAGTTACTGGCAATTGAACCGCTTCCCCGAATGCTGAAGGGTAACACCGGAGAAGCACTCCAAGCAAGTGTAGAGTGGACAGTGGAGGCTTCATTAAAGGACATTAGAAAAGACTTCTCCCCGGAGGAAGAAAGGGAGAGGTCTGCCCTTTTTTATTGCTAAAGTCTTCTCTTAGTCCTCCCACACTCCTGTCCTTGGTTTCCCTCTGTCCTGCAGTGATAGAATGCAGGTGGGAAGGCCAAAAGGTGGGAGATGGGGACTGAAGGGGCCTGGAGGAGTAATCTGGGCAGGAAGGGCCTGGGGGGGTTCTGATTAGCACCTCCCTGCTTGCTGGGAGCTGCTTCTTTAACAGTTCCATAGGATGGGTTCCAGGCCTTGGGGACATTAACATTTCAATTTCCCCAAGTGCTGTTCTGGACTCCATTCTTGATAATGGCCTGCATTTTATTTATCTTACTCGATATTAGACCCAATTTACCTAACTACACTAATTACCTCACCTATCTGTAAATCTGGCTTCACAAGAGCGTTCTGCCTCTGTGCTACATTCACAGCTCTTTCTTTTCATTTATTTTATTTTTTTGAGATAGTGTCTGGATAAGTTGCTGAGGGCCTCACTTAGTGGCTGAGGCTGGCCTTGAACTTGTGATTGGTCCTTCTGTCTCAGCCTCTCAAGTCACTGGGAATATGATCCCACCAGTTATCGGTGACCTGCTTCCCCACATGTTGAAGTCTGAACATTAGAGAAGCCGGCCGAGGCAAACATATGAAGCAGGGTTCATTTAAAAAGGGGTAACATAGACTTCTCCCTCGAGGGAGAAGGGGGCCATAGCTGGTTTCATGGTATCCCAAGAAGCGAGGTGTTCTGCCCTTTTTATATGTCCTAGGCTTCCTTTGTTCTCCTGCCTCCCCCCCCCCCAACCTTTCTCCTTCCTGTGCACTGTGACTAGGCCCAGGAATGCTTGGTGGGGTGGCCAAAAGGTGGGAAGTACGTGGGCTGAAGGGGGAAGGGCAGGGTGCAGTAAACAACCTTATAGCTCCCTGTAGGGAGGGGAAATTCCTGGGGCAGGTTACCTTAGCAACAGGTTGGAACTGGGGCAGGTTCTTGATAAGATCCCTCAGGGGACATTCTCCAACTTCCCAGATTCACTCAAAATTGGCCTCCTTGACCTGACCTGACTTATTTACCTATCTACACTGACCGCCTGTGTACTTCTGGCTTCAATTACAGGCTTGTGCAGGGCTCCCCCAGCTCTTTTTATCTCGAGACAGAGTTTTACTAAATCGCCTAGGCTGGCCTTGAACCTGT